ATGTATCATCACTGAAAGCCGTTGTATTTACATTCATACTAACTGCTACCAAATTAACACAATATAATTTTTGGAATTCACAAGAAATTAACTCTGCGTTTTTTTTTAAAGCAGGACCCCCCCCCCCCCCCCCCCCAGGGATTTTGCTGAAATGTGAGATGTTAGGACAGAGACACAATTGCAGCCTAGCTGTAAACCTCAACACAACATCCTAGCTGCTATTTTCGTCAGATTCAAGTGTGGTCTGTCACAAGCTCTCAGATGAACTATGCCATACTGTTTTATCATCACTGGAAGCTACTGTTTACCTTCTTACTAACTTTTCCCGAATAAATAAAGATATTTGTGGAATTCACACGAAAATCATCCATGTACTGGGGCAAAAAGGTAAACCCACTGGCCCCAAAAGAGACTGATTATTAGTTTGATGAAATCAGATGTGTTGCGCGGAAAGGCACAGATATCGCAGCCCAGCTGTAAACCACAATGTCCCACCTGCCATTTTAGGGATGAATGCAAATGCCAAAAATACAACACAGCTTTTGTCAGATTCTAGTTTGGTCTGTCACAAATTCTCAGATGAACTATGCCATACTGTTTTATCATCACTAAAAGCTGTTGTATTTTCCCTCTTAGTAACTGCAACATAATGAAAGACATTTGTGGAAATGCTGTGCCAAAGTTGCAAATCCGGCCCCGTTGTATGGATGAACAGCAAGAAGAATAACTAAAACAATTACCAGTGAACCGCGGACATCTATTATCTATTTTACATATGAATTCCGTACGAATGCAGCCCTTCAACAGCTTTCATAAGATTTAATCAAGTGCAGTAGTCGCAGCTTGTGAGAAGAACTACACCCTAGTGCTGTACCTCAGTGAAACCTCTTCCTAACATGTACAGCAAGTAAGGTGAGGGGGTGAGGAAGTTCACAGGAGACCAACAGACAATTTTTGAAAATGAGTTTTTGCTTGTAATAATCTGTGTAACATGTTTATAATTTCATTTTATATCTTGTAATAATCTGTGTAACATGTTTATAATTTCATTTTATATCTTGTAATAATCTGTGTAACATGTTTATAATTTCATTTTATATCTTGTAATAATCTGTGTAACATGTTTATAATTTCATTTTATATAAAATATTTTTACTATTTATAAACCAAAACCCAGTTTTTTGTTCTAAAGAGCAGTCTGCACGTCTAATATTAAAAATACAATATAATGTGCCTGCATTTAATTATTACAGATAAAGAACACATTCCACCTCTGCATATCTGAATTTTAAAAACACATCCCTGTAACAGCTTTTATCAGATTCTAGTGTGCTCTGTCACAACTTTATCAGATTCTAGTGTGCTCTGTCACAACTTTATCAGATTCTAGTGTGCTCTGTCACAACTTTATCAGATTCTAGTGTGCTCTGTCACAACTTTATCAGATTCTAGTGTGCTCTGTCACAACTTTATCAGATTCTAGTGTGCTCTGTCACAACTTTATCAGATTCTAGTGTGCTCTGTCACAACTTTATCAGATTCTAGTGTGCTGTCACAACTTTATCAGATTCTAGTGTGCTCTGTCACAACTTTATCAGATTCTAGTGTGCTCTGTCACAACTTTATCAGATGAACTATGCCATACTGTTTTATCATCACTGAAAGTTGTCAGCCATTTACCAACACCATCTTCATACAAATTATTACTTTAGAGGTTAATTAGAAATGAAATAATCAATAAGCCTATAATAAATAATTTAACAAACGATATAATCTGCAATTCTAGATTACAACAAATGACATTGGAAGAAGTACATTTAGAAATAAGAAAACATGGAGGTGTACGGGACATGTCCTCAGAATGAAGTAAGAGAGACGACCCACTCATACACTGTAATGGACACAAGAACAGTGAGGAAGAGGCAGGCCCAGAGACACTTGGAGACAAACTTTTGAGGCTCCACTCAAGGCTACTCGAAGGAAAACACAGAGGTACAGAGAATGGCTTAGGGTCAAATTGAGTGGCAACAGTTTCTCTCTAACTTGTCCCATAACACAAAAATCAAATACAGGGTGAAAGACTTTGAAACTACATGATACAATTGCCACAACAACAACAAATTGTTTATTTTGTTAGAACTAAACTGGCACCCTAGAGCATGTGTCCTGATGCATGATGTTTTATGTTAATATTTAAAGATCCCTGTCACTATACAAACTGTTTAAACGTCGTAGTGCTTCTTGTCGAACGGCAAGGAAAAAACAACAGCACACAAATAATATACACACAAATGATATACACTTAGGCCCTGGTACAAAGCCAAAGTCCAAATGGATGAACAAAGAAGGATAATTTTTTTTAATGTGATTTACTTTCATATTAATATTGTAAAATCTGTCAACACAGCCCTACTAACAGCTTTCATCAGATTCTAGTGTGGACTATCACAACTTGTCAGATGAACTATGCCATATTGTGTTATCATCATTGAAAGCTGTTGGCATCTTACACACCCCCCCCTCTTTCCACATTAGTGCTCAGGTGGTTATTCGTTTACTATGTTCGCAATTATAAGGTGATGTAGTTCACAGATAGGCTGTGCTATAGGCACCTTTCCAACACATCTGATTTTATCTGACCACTAATTAGTTTTTTGTACATGCTTGTTGGAAGTGGTGCCCCCCCCCCCCCCCCCCCGCCCATTTAAATTATCTTAGTGCAGGTTTCACGATGTCAAATTTTAAAATAAATATAATTCTAACAAAAAAGTTAATAACAGATCTGCTGAAACTGGATGTAGTAGGAAAAAAGATATTGTAGCCTCGCCGTAAATAACCCACCACCCTTTTATGGGCACTCACAGAAGAAAAATGAATTTTAAATGCAACACTGTAGCAGCTCTCATCAGATTCTAGTGTGATCTGTCACAAAAGTTATCAGATGAACTATGCCATGTTGTTGTATCATCACTTAAAAGCTGCGGTTGTTGCATACGAAAAACATCATCCTCTTCTTGCCAATTACAACTTGAACCAGAACATTTTTTATCTTGCATTATGAAGTGCCAGCACCTTTTTTTACGCATCAGTATTTTCTTTCAACACCATTGTAACAGACATTTCAAGGTGAGTACTGGCACCTTGTTTGAGTGCTCTACGGTAAGTAGTGGCACTTTGCTTTTTAAAGAAAAACAAGGCCATGATCAGAACTACTCAGAAAGCTGGAGGCGAGGACTATCACCTGTAAGAGCTGATAACACCTTGTTTTATCATGCTGTGAGCACTGTTAAGTAAACCTTTTGGGAACAAACAGGCACAGCAGATTAGCTGGTTCTGGGCCACTGGACGAAGTCATGCATGACAAGGCAGATTAGCTGGTTCTGGGCCACTGGACGAAGTCATGCATGACAAGGCAGATTAGCTGGTTCTGGGCCACTGGACGAAGTCATGCATGACAAGGCAGATTAGCTGGTTCTGGGCCACTGGACGAAGTCATGCATGACAAGGCAGATTAGCTGGTTCTGGGCCACTGGACGAAGTCATGCATGACAAGGCAGATTAGCTGGTTCTGGGCCACTGGACGAAGTCATGCATGACAAGGCAGATTAGCTGGTTCTGGGCCACTGGACAAAGTCATGCATGACAAGGCAGATTAGCTGGTTCTGGGCCACTGGACAAAGTCATGCATGACAAGGCAGATGTGGCTAAAGGCAAGATTATTAGCAAGTTGCTGGCAATGAAAGGGATAAGAGACTGGTCAGTTCTGCCTTGGTTGCAGATAGCCAGCACCGAACCTATCAATGCCCTGGAAGAGATAGGCTGGTTAATCAGAGGATTTCAGGAGCAGCTAAGAGAACTGTGAGTAAAGCTCGGTCCAACCAAGGGAAGAAAGGGACTACGAGAAGTCTTTTTAACCAGCTTAGGACCAGCACTTTAAACTTACAATGACTAACGAAATTTAACAGGCTTCATTTGGTTTAGTTTAGTTAACGGATCGACATCATGGCACATGGGCGTAAACCCATAAGTGCTCCGTTCTACTTCTAACTCAAGCTAGAGTATAAAAAACCTCAGCGCAGTGCTCTGTTGCATCCTCAACAAGGACCATGGAAAGTTTTTTTGGGTGGGTGGGGTAGATTTTTTTAACTGAAAATTTTGTCCAGACAGTGCCAATAAACTACACTTTTCTTTTCTATTTCCAACTGCCAAGGTATTTTTTCCGTGCACAACCATACACACAGGCGTTCGGTCTTACTACCCATAGACCAGGGGAAATTACTAGAAGTCCACGTGAAAAAATCTCAGCCTTCACCAGGGTTTGAACCCGGAACCTCCAGCACTCAAGGCGGATGCCATAATCACCCCCCCCCCCCCCCCCCCGACTTTCGCTCTCTTGAAATAGATTATTTATATCTTTAGTGTCATCTCTAGTATGAACTTCAGGGTCTGTCGTAATCAATCAACGACCTGCAGTTTGGCGAAAATAAACCACACATGAAATGACACAAGGACCTATAATCAATCAGTGAAAATCTGCGACAGAGACTGGCACTCAACCAATGAAATGACACAAGGACCTATAATCAATCAGTGAAAATCTGCGACAGAGACTGGCACTCAACCAATGAAATGACACAAGGACCTATAATCAATCAGTGAAAATCTGCGACAGAGACTGGCACTCAACCAATGAAATGACACAAGGACCTATAATCAATCTGCGACTCAACCAATGAAATGACACAAGGACCTATAATCAATCTGCGACTCAACCAATGAAATGACACAAGGACCTATAATCAATCTACGACTCAACCAATGAAATGACACAAGGACCTATAATCAATCTGCGACTCAACCAATGAAATGACACAAGGACCTATAATCAATCTGCGACTCAACCAATGATATGACACAAGGACCTATAATCAATCTGCGACTCAACCAATGAAATGACACAAGGGCCTATAATCAATCTGCGACTCAACCAATGATATTACCTTAGCCTTTGTGTCTTCAAATCTTGGCATCTCCTCAAAATGTTTGGGTACAGTCTTTTCTTTGGGGGGTCTGGAGAAACAACAACAAAAACTTGGTCAAATACAACATTCCCTCTTTCTTTGCCAGAACAGATGATGGGAAAACAAGATTAAATACACTGGGAGGAGAAAGCAAGTAGAGGGACAGAGACAAATAGAAAGCAAGGGCTGGTACAGAAAGTAGAGAAGGAAGAACAGAGACAGAGATAAATAGAAAGCAAGGGCTGGTACAGAAGTAGCGAGTTGATAGAGAATGCAGAAAGAAAAAGAAAGACAGAGAGGAAAGAGAGAGAAAGTTTTCAACTGAGTACAAGTTTGGATGACTGAGTGGCCATAAGCAAAACATAAATCACAAAGGTCAGCTGCGGTCATATTCTCATATTTCTTACAGATGATTTAGTCATCTTATGTTTATTTAACAGATCAACACTATGGCAAACGGACGGGTGTAACCCATAAGTGCTCCCTTGTACTAACTCAAGCCTGAGTCTAAAGAATCTCAGCGCAATGGACGAATTCCAGTGCACCAGCAAACATCTTAGAATACTCTGGGTAGATTTTGAACCTCATATTTTGCCTGGGCGGCGCCGTTAGGCTACTTTTGATTTCTAACTGCCAGGGGATTTTGTAACGTACGAAACAATACATATGGGGTCTGACCTCGCTACCTAGAGACCAGCGGTAATTACTAGAAGTTTATGTGAAAAAATTCTACCCTTACCAGGGCATTTTTATCTTCTTACAACTCCAGATGACGAACAGGACCTCAACCAACTCAATACCAAGGTGTCTTACATTTTGCTCCCTCCTGCAGCTCCTCCTCCTTCGCTTCCTCTTTTACTGTATTGAGTGTCAAGGAAAATATCATGTTCAGCTTTTTGTTCCTTCGACCTGACACATCGTGCAGTTGTAGACTTTCTCTGATGTTATCTTTACACCTTGCCCTTCTCAGACATCACCTTTCTAGAATTACTGTTATTTTATGGTTGGTTTCAGTGATCCTGTCTGACACTGATAGAACAGAGTGGAAACAAATACGTTTTGCATACAATAATTAGTTGTGCTGATCAGGATTGACGTGCCGTTTGGGGGAGGGGTGGGGGGGCGACGCTGTTCCTCTTTCTTCCTAATTCTTTGTTTGCTTTACTGCATATGTTAATATCTTCATCCAATTGACTGTCTTTGGTTGGCTTCATGTAACGCCTTTGCACTCAATTAGTTTTGGCTATTCTTGCTTCCAGTGAAGATACCTTCTATGCTCTCCCCACATTAATCATCTCTGACCCACCTATCATTTGACGCTGTTTTCCCATTTACATACCCTCCGTTTAGCCCCTGAAAAACTTCTACATCTGTTCTTAAATGCTGAGTTAGCAACCCTGTATTGTGGTTTACAGCTAGGCTATGATACATGCGTCTTTCAGATCAACACATTCAACTTTCAACAAAAGGGCTAAAGGGCTACATGGCACCCACATGCATAATAACAAACAACTACTTTTACCTATGATGCTAATTACTTTATAATATTACTCAAGACACACTAATTCTGACAACTTCTGTAAAACTGAAACCAATAACATATCTGGTCTTAACACAAACAAAGATATGACAGATCTAGTTGAAAAGTAATTACATACCGGTTTTTGGGATTATCTGCTCGTTTAGCTGCAGATAGGGAAAAAAAAAGACAAACTTGTTATTTTAAAGAAACAGCAATATATGACAGGCATTACAATATGTCTTTGTTCATATATCCTTGTCTTGTATTTAGTTTGAGTGGCCTCGTGTTCTCATGGGCTGGCTGGCTGTGAGCATCGTATGGTTGTTCACCCATGACTGGACAATCTTGTTCTAGGATGAGTGGCACATCCATTTTCCAGATCTGGCTAATTTGTACGCAAACTATTAGTTCCTCACCTCTCAAGCAGATGTGTGCAGACCTGAAAGACCATGCTGATTCTATCCGCGTTGGCCAGGTCCCCAGGAAGATACCTGTTTCTAGGATGACTGCAGAGAAGTGTAGGCAGGTGTTAACCATGAGCCCTGGCCATGGTGTGCAACCACAAGAGTCCTAGACTTCACACTGGGATTTGTTTATATCTTCTTCTTCTGGTTGCTCTCTGATATAGATGAACCTCTCTTGCTCAAGCCAGCCTTACCTTTACATGCTGGACCCTGTTCTTTCAATCCCAGCGATAGCTATGGAAACACTTGTACAGGAAGGCATGCACTTAATCCACTGTAGGCTATGAAATTTGATGTCTGCTATCTCAAGCTTTCCCTAAAGATTAGCTGTCAGACCTACTAGGTGTAGCAACATGTTGCTTCACAGCTCCACTAAGAGAGTACCCTGTTCTTCCAAGCAATCCCAGCGACAGCTACAGAAACACTCATAATGGACCAGGCTTTTTCCTCTACAGCCATCTCTAGTCATGCGCTTATTTGTCAGGTCTACTGGTTGTGGCCACATGTTGCTTGGCAGCACCACCAAGAGGGGATCAGTCTTTCAAGACACATTCTGGAGTCTGTTCAGCATGAAGACACTGGCAGAGAGCTGTTTGGCTCATACCTGATCTATATGAGTGTTTGTTGAGTCTGCAGTGTGCAGTGTGTAAGTGTTCTGTTCAGATGTCTGAGGAAATCTTGTTCATAGTTAGAACCTGCGTTAGTTTTAGACTATTTATGAACCAATGCTAAGAAAATTTACGAGATTAGATGACATAACATATTTAGGAAAATGTGAACTGAACAGAGAATTACAAGTGGGTCCGGCAAGGGCGGTCATATAAAAGAACGATAACAACAGGTAAATAATCGTTGCCATACACACTGTTAGACATTTCCTGGGGGAGACGGAGCATCTATGGGTATGCTCAGTGTGCCATGGTGCGGAATCTTAAGTCAGAAATCAGTAATCCAGTAGAAGGTTAGGGTCTCAACCCCTAGGGCAGAACTGGATTAGACAACAAACAAGGTAATGGCAAAGAGATGTGCCCACTCTTCTGTGAATTTGGAAATACTGAGCCAGAATGTGGATCAAAAACAGCAGCATACGCAAGTCCCATCCCAGGCCAGTCTGATGATATCAAGATCTTTGTTTAATTTTTGGCCAAAGTTTAAATTTGTATATGTATTCTAAATGCAGCTTTACAACAGTTTTCATCAGATTATAGTGTGGTCTTTCATATGCTGTCAGATGAACTATGCCATACTGTTGTATCATCATTGAAAGCTGTTGTTTGAAAAAAACATGTTATCCCCTACTAATGTTAGGTAGTTTTTCTGCATCCCATACAAACCATAAATTAACTTAGCTTGCCATGAAGATAATAATTGTCCTATAACTAAGGTTATAGTTTTTCTGCATCCCACACAAACCATAAATTTATTTAGCTTGCCATGAAAATTATAACTGTCCTCTAACTAAAGTTATAGTTTTTCTGCATCCCACACAAACCATAAATTCAGCTTGCCATAAGGATAACAATTGTCCTCTTACTAATACGTTATTTAGTTTCTCTGCATAAATAATGCAAATTAAGTCACTACTACTAATCCTCAGTGGTATAGTCACTAGAAGCTTGCCTGTGGATTAGACGGTCATGGATTCGGCCCTCACAGAGCCTGATTTTATTTTTTGTAAATGACCTTCGCTACAAGGCCAAACCAGCCTTAAAGAGGTACAAGGAACAGTACTGGGAAGTAAAGGTGGTCAGGGTTGAATACATCACCCACCAAGCGCCCACTGGTCTACAAAATATTGGCATATTTTTATGCCCATATTCTTATTTCAGAGTCGGCGTCGTAATGCCAGGGTGCCAGGTTAGATCCCAACTGCGGGCCTTTCGCTGGTTTCGACGGTGTTATCAAAAAGCTGACCGTCTAGAAAGCAATGGCAAACTACCGGACGTAAGCTTGCCTAGAGAAACTGGGGTTGGTTCTGCAATGTCCTGTAAAGGATACGCAACTGAGTATTGGCTAGAATAGATCAACTTTTTTCGTCTCTGTACTTTCTCTTACACAGCTGTTTCATGCACTTGTCTGGGAGTGATCTTTTTCTTTATGTTAACCGGCTGTAAACTCTAGGCTTTGTGGAATGTTTTTAATTTTTTCAAAATAGCACAACATATTTTAAATGTTGCATTAGGAATTGACATCACAGCCCTCGGGACACTACCATAAGCACTCAGTCCCCATCTACAGCATCACGCTAAGAGTTCCAATTCTGATGACACAAGTAACCATCTGATTGTAAATCCGTATCATCCTTCCCCCGAGTAACACAACAAGAATAGTGGTACTACAGAACTATTTGATTGGTACTTTATCAGCAGCATGAAAGATACAACCAGATCAACACAGCATGTATTATTAACAACATCATATAACAGAACAGGTTATAACAACAATGAAGGTACACAGAACAAAATGTATGCTAAAAGCTACTATGACAACATCAAAACAGGTTCTTTAACAACTGCATGAAAGATGAGCACAACAGGTAAATACAACAGCATAAAAAGCAGAAAACAACAACCAATAAGACAATGGGTACTTTAACAAATACATAAAAGGTATGCCACAACAGGATGTAAATTCACAAATAATAATAACAAACACTTACGTGGGCCGTTTTGACTACTGCTGGCGACTTTATCTACTGGTGGTTTCTTCCCTGGGACAGCTTCCGTCTTTGTCTGAGGCCCCCAGCCCCTGCCTGCCGGACTGGCGCTGGACTGCCACAAGAAAAGAGAAAAACTCTGTTACTTCCACTGTAGACTAGTCGGATAGGTGAAATTCCAAAAACAGCTGTTGAACATCAGGAGTTTTCATTTGCTCCTTGTAAAGGTAAGCGTACTGCAGTTAGTGTTATCTGGGCTGTGAATTGTTCCTTTGCATATTCTAGATCATCATTTACAAGATGGAGCAGCCAGTTCCTTTCCTCCTCGTTACATCCATCTCTTGAGAACCGTCTTGTCTTCCTAATGGGTTTTCCTCTCCTAAGGGCCTTACCGACCAATAGTTTGTGCCTAAAAATTAGGAGTAAAGTCCCTTGTCATAACTTGACTTCTGCATGGGGATCCCACCATACTGGGTCACTTCATGTCCCTCCCCTGTGTGTGCAGGGAAGAGCAGACCTACTGCCCTCTAACTACCATGTTGTAAAGGTCGACTAACAGGGGTTTCCTTCGTCAAAGTTAGAGTACATCTGCCTGAGGGGTCAGGAACCAATGGTATGCATACACTTAAGCCAAACCTTGAAAACAATAACGGATGTGAACATAAACAAGTTCTGGAACGAAACTTCCAAAAAGTATCGAAGCGGACGAATTAACAGAACTTTTGACAAAGTTTACAGCTGGTGAATTCTTAGAAATTAAGAAAGGAATAATAATCCACTTAAAAACTAGAGACTAAAGCAGGAAAAAAATATTCAATTACATCTGTATGCATCCTCCACAGTAAATGTGCGTCCTCTGCATGTTATTAGGAATATCAAGTCACATTGCAACTCTTGAACATTTGAGTGTGGCGCGGTGATTTCAGTCACAGGCATGAGGCAAAGTTAAGTCTGATGTGAGGTGTATAAGGAGATACTCCGTACCCCACTCGGGCGCCAGTCCTTCACTGTTCTGGTTTTACGGAACCTCATGCAAGACTCCTGTTGCACGTCCCCGTCGTGCGCCACGGATAATGTCTCAAATGAGCATTAACAGAGTTGGCAGGGGATCTCGGAGCTGGCGGCCCCCAGAGGTGTAGTGTCCTTTCTGGCTCTCACCAGCCCGCCCCCAAACGCATGGGTGAAAAGTCTAACAAAACTCAAAATTGCTTGCTAAATGTACCATCAAATGACAACTCTTGGTTAAAATTCGGGAGGGAATTTAAAACTGTGCTGCTGAGACTCAACCCTGACCGAGAGATTTACCCGCAGCCAAGACGATTAACATCTCTTGTGGGCGACTTCTCGTAGCAAGATCCTACCTACGTACATCCTCTGTCAATCCTCAGTGTCGTCGTCACCGCGCTGAGGTACACCACGGCAGCAACTTTTCATATGCTAGTTTGGAAATAATGTCAGACAAAGTTATACCCCACAGCACACATGCAAGCTCAGAGTCCGACGATCATAATTCGAACCGATCTGGAAAAAGTCTGAATGTCTGTATCCACTGGTCCAACTCGCCCGAGTGTTGGGACCGAACAGGTGAAGCCACGCCTGACGCATTTTGCTTCCCAATGTTGTTGTGCTAAGGGCACAGCTGAAACAATGTTAAAGGTGTCTAACGTAAGATGAAAAAGAATGTACCCATTTGTGTGGCCACAAACGTCCTAGACCTGCGGGTTGCTCCCCGCTGATCTCCGGAGAGCGCAACCTTATAGCGCGGGAAGCTCAATACACGGTTGTGAGGTTAAGCAGTCATGGGCAGGACGTGACGATTCCTTGGGTGAGCCCAGAACCAGGGCATCATGTGTCGGCTCTGCATTTATGGAAGCCTCCTTGGATGGCGGGGAATGCCTATGATCTGCCCCTGCCTTCCCTTGAGGGCTGAAAACTCTACATAGAGCTGCCTTAAGGACGACATGCCGGGGGCCACACCTGTTAAAAGTCAAAGAGGACACCACACAAATGAGGCAACATCTCGACCCACACAAAACAATGGCCACAGTCAACCTAGAAATAGGCTTGACGTCTTCCTCCGAAGTCGGAGTACATCTGCCGGAGAGGCGGGGAACGAGTACTGCAAACAAATAAGCCAGTAAAACGGATGTACACGCAAAACTCAGGTCAAGGTAAAAGCCAAAACTCCATTTTGGGCGAACAACCGCGACTTACCGCCGGAATTCACAGCCGGTGAACAAGAAGAAGAAGAAGAAGATTTGAGTTATGAGTTATCAATGAGGAATCCGCTCATAGCACTAAAGTCATTCCCTTAAGCGCACCTTCCCTATTTCACCAGCAAGTACAAGTCTAACGGTACCAGTCAGTCTGATCATATGCCAGCATCTCCTCTCCCCCTTAGTGTTAGGTGCTGGCCAAATCCCCAGGTCACTTCTCACAGTATACTCTTCTCAGACATACCGTCTACTCCCTCACAAAGGGGCCTCACAACATCTGGCTTGTCGGGCACTAATATACCACCTAGTGGTGCAGAACCAGCCAGTCTGTCTCTCTCATAACACACCTGCATCACTTGGTTATCATCCCCAGAGCTACAGAGTGTGTGCTTTGTGCTTGATACCATCGTCAGCAGACTGCAAAGTCTGAAATTATGCAAACTGGCAAAACAAACACAAAAGAATTCAAATAAAAGGTACATATTGTCCCAGATTAACCTACCTTCGGTGGTATACCATCTTTTCTGTCAGGTAATGCAGCAGAAACGGAAGAGGAAACTGTGGCATTATTGGAAACGTTTGAAGTGCTTGAAGATGATGCTGACACTGCTCCAGCTTCCTTCTTTTTCGCCCAGGGATTTTCCTTTGGCGGAGGTGCAGGAATTAATTTAGGGGTATGTTCCCCTGATTTACTTGACGTGTGTGATCCATCCTCACTGCCTCCGTCATCAGAAACATGCGAATGTTCACTGTCTCTCCTTGAACCGTGCCCTGGAGTTGGAAACAAAGATCAGTTTTAGTTAGGGCAATATGGGAGGCTGAGGATCTACTTTCCCTTTAAATTCAGTAGGGGTCACCGCAAAGTACTTCATTTCTGTGCTAACGAAAAAAACATAGAAAAGCTGTCCATCACTGTCCCTTGAAGAAACCTGACACTCAGCCTTAACATATCCATAAGCATACACATGCATTGAAAGTATAAGGCAACCATCAGAAGTTCTTACACAAAATGTTCAAAATCAGAAATGCAGTCATCGATGGAAGCAGCAGTCACTAACAGATCAGCAGTTGCACACACGATCAATTTTAATAACATAAGGCACCACTAATTCTGTGGCAACAAGTCACGTTCTATTTTCTGAATCTACAGTTTATAACACCACACCGGTCACAGTCGAAAACACTCCAAATGAACTCTGCAGCTATGTGCTATCCCATGCACTAATCTAAGTAGCTGGTTGACAAAACTATAAAATTTCAGTCTACAAATGTTGGACAATGCAACAGCCACCATCTGTTACGCCTAAAAAAAAACCAGTGAACCTGCTGAACCACCATTCTGACTGGAAGGCCTTGTCTGTACAGTATTTTAAGGTGCTGCCCCTAGATAACCCTTTCATGGCAACCATGCATAGAAAAGACAGCACATGAATAATCACCTGAGCCATCCACGCTCTCCCGCCGGGCTTCACCCTGTCTGTCACCACCTCTCCTGCTATGGTCGGAGCTCTCTGAATCTCGCCTCTTTGACGGATGCTGGCTGAAACTGAGATGTACAGAATACATTCAGAAAACGTATCAAGTCCTAGTGATTTAACAGAGAAACAAATGAAACATTGTGTTATTTTAAGCTACTGTAAAAAGCCTAAAGATGTTAGCTTGAATATCATTAGCACAAGGACAAAGTCACCTAAGTGCAATTGTGATGATTTTCGTCTAAGTGCTTTTTTTTCAAGCCTGTTATTTGTCATGGTGCAATATGTTAAAGGCAATGTGAAGTCCTACTCCAAATAGGTCAAAATGAAGCATTACTTTTCATGTAACTACACATATTTTTTTGTTTCTGAGATCTTAAGGTTCAAAAGTGAATGTGGCATGGGATAAAAGAAAGAGATGGGACAGGAGAAATAGAAGAGACAGGAGAAAGAGAAGAGATGGGACAGGAGAAAGAGAAGAGATGGGACAGAAGAAATAAAAGAGAAGGGACAGGGGAAAGAGAAGAGAAGGGACAGGAGAAAGAGAAGGGACAGGAGAAAGAGAAGGGACAGGAGAAAGAGAAGAGAAGGGACAGGAGAAAGAGAAGGGACAAGAGTAAGAGAATGGACAGAAGAAAGGCAAGGGACAGAAGAAAGAGAAGGGACAAGAGGAAAAGAAGGTAGAGAAGGAAAAGAATGGACAAGAGCAGAAAAAGGTAGAAAAGAAAGAGAAGGAACAGGAGAAAGAAATGGGACAGGAGAAAGAAAAGGAACAGGAGAAAGAAAAGGGACAGGAGAAAGAGAAGGGACAAGAGGGAAAGAAGGCAGAGGATGAAGAAAATGGACAAGAGCAAAAGAAGGAAAGAGAAGGAACAAGAGGAAGAAAACGGACAGGACAAGTGGGGAAAAGCAGGAGGAGGAAAAATTGTAAGATAAAAGACAAAAGAAGCAAGTGGTATAATCTGAGGGGAAAATCAGAAACAAAGAAAGACAGGTGAGAAAGGTTAGAAGAACCATGAAAGACATACCCATGATCCCCGTCATCTTTCTTTTTCAACTTTTCTTCAATCTCTTTCTCACGGGCGTACGTGTCAACTGGTTTAGCCGACCCAAATATAGAAGATCTGGAGGATGGCTGATTTTCCTTATTCTCCACTGGCTTTGTGCGGGGTTTCAGGTTTAGCACTGGTCGTTCCTTGCCAGTGTCTCGGTGTTCTGTTCGCACAAACATGAATAAAACAGTTGAACAATGACAACTGGCTAGAAAAAGTAACTGTTGATTGGCTATCTATAAAGAAATAGCAGATGACCAGCCACTGATGAGTTAGAAAAACTTGCTCATGATTGGCCCAAGAAAGTAGCTGACATACGATCAACCAATGATTGGCTGGGATTGGAGGGGAGGGGGGGGGGGGGCTGCTCAAGGCAAAGTGTCTGCCTCAAATGCTAGGGTCCCAGGTTCATGCCCAGGTAAAGGCTAAGATTTTTTCACATGCTTCTAGTAATTTCCCTCCGGTTTCTGGGTAGTTAGACTGGACGCCTGTGTGTATTGTTTCACACGTTTAAAAAAATCCCCTTGGCAGTTGGAAATCGAAAGAGTTGCCTAGTAGCGCTGCCCGGGCAAAATTTAGAGTCAATCTACGTAAGTAATTTGGGAACTTTGCCGGCACAACGAAGTTCGTGCACTGCACTGAGATTCTTCTAACTTAAGCATGAGTTAAAAGAAGAATGGAGCACTTATGGGTTACTACCCGATCCGTTGGATAAAAAAAAAACATGGCTGGGAAAAGCAGCTGCTCGTAGATAGGTGATGATCAGCCATTAGTTAGTTAGAAAAACTAGCTGATGACCAGCTGGAAAAAAAGTAGCTGATAACTGACATGGTCAGCCAATGATTGGTTGGGACAAGCAGCTTGTAGTTAGGTGATGATTAGCATCAGCCGTCTGCACCTCTTAATGATTTGATTTGATTCCAGAACCGACACGCATCCTAACCCTTTGATCTATTGTCTTTTGACGTAGTTTAGAACTGGCTCAGTCCAACCTTGTTTCCTAATATCAGTTTTTATCCTGCCTCCTCTTTTCCTCTTCCAAGGTGATATTTAAGGATATATACGAGCAGATTGGCTTGCTGGCAGGACCACACAGGTACAGTAAAAGCAATGGATCAGGCATTCTCAATGCTCTCAGGGAACAGGACAAGAAGATAATTCAGGAGATGACGTTAAATCGACAACAAAAGATTACAAGAACTTCAGATCAAAAGATGTGTCGCTAAACATGAACACTATACAGGCAGCCAAAGAAGGATAGTGTTGTTTTCAGTCACTGAGGGTTTTACTGAGGTTGGGATCCGACATGCCCGAGGTTCAGTGAGTATACTAACTATATTAAGAAATAAATACACTGTCCGTAAAGCGCACTTGTGACGGATCACAGGAAAGCAACAAAAGAAGAGAGAAATATGAAATCTGCACAAAATATAACGGAAAAAATTTCACATTTCTTTTTTTCTGTTGATTTCCTGCGACATGTCAAAAGACTATGGACACACTGCTTTTATTAAACAATATGTAGAACATTAAAGCAGTGAATTTTATTCCTGGACAACATTTATAACCAAAAAAAATCCTCACCTGGACTTCCATCTCTACTTGGTTGCCTAGATTGAAAGATAAAGAAAATGCAGGTGTTAGCAAGGAAATACATTAAAATGCAGACACAATGTATGGACAATACCACAGTGTTTAAGTTATAGAACTCGGGTCTCTCTCCGCAGAACAGCTACCTGACTATCCATAGATTTGGTGATGGCCCAAGTGATCTCCGTGAAATTGGAACTACGAACTGAACACCACACCTGTGAAGCGACCCTGTGAATAGAACGTGTCCATAAACGGACCTGTAATCAACTTGGTCGCTATGTGGACAACAATGTGATTATAGGTGAGATAAAAGAGAAGTCTCTAACTTGAACATCCGAGACTATCACAGAAATGATCCTGTTGATCAGACTGTGGGAACAACACCATGCAACAATTTCATAGAGAAATGATCAGATGATTCTGTTATTGCTAGACTGCAGCCATAACTACTACAAAAATCATTATATCAAGCGCATCCTGCAACAAAACAAAGAAATAACGGCAGCACATCCTGCAACAAACAAAGAAATAATGGCAGTAAAACAGAGAGTGGGGGTGGGGGGGGGGGGGGGGGGGGGAGGGATAGATCAAGGAAGCAAAAATCTCCAGGAGAATCTTTGAAGAAGAAAAAAGAACAAATACAAAACAGTTACTCCCCATTCCAGCAAAGTGTTTACCATTTACTCATATAATCCCAGAACTGACCAGTCAGTCAATACATGACTTGCATTGTCTCTCGCCTTTCGCTATCTGACACGATTCCTTCGTTTCCTAAATTTAATGTTGGGATTGAAATCATCAACAAATCGTACTGCCTTGTTTCCTCCTCTTTACAATCTGCATCTACTCTGAGGTGCATCCATCTTAGAGACAACCAAAATCGTAACAATAAGGGTTTTGAAAAAGAAAAACTTAACTTACATGTGTTACATTATTCAGTGTTTAAAAAACAAAAAGGCTCACTTTCGTTCAAAATTATCATCACGGCGCCCTCTATTGAAGTCATCCCTTCTGCCTTCATCCCGTCTCCCACCAAAACGATCATCAAAGCCGCCGCCGCTGCCACCACCTCTTGAACCAAAGCGACCTGTAAATATAAAACATAACACATTCTGACTTACATATCACCCTTATCTGCACGATGCGTTACTGGCTATTTCACCACATGTGTCCATCACAACATCAAGTGTCTTCTTGTATTGTGTTGGTCAGTATATACCAGGGCTGTGGGGCTATTCATCTGGTGGTCCGCAAGCCAAATCTGGTCCACCGTGGTCCGCATGCCAAATCTGGTCCACCGTGGTCCGCATGCCAAATCTGGTCCACCGTGGCCCACAAGCCAAATCTGGTCCACCGTGGCCCGCATGCCAAATCTGGTCCACCGTGGCCAGCAGAATACTCCCAGATTTGTATTCATGATTTTTCTATACTGGGTCAGTCTCGACATTATTTATATGGGTCAGTCTCGACATTATTTTAACTGGTAAGTGACACCCAACCCTACATAAGGTCTCTTGTCGACTGGTGTGGGTGCCTCTCAGTCCGTGTGCTGAGACGCCTCTATGCCATGACTAAAGGCTGTCAAGAATCTTCTCATGTCTTTGTCTGTCTCTTTTTCCATAGATTTTTCCAGTGGTTGCAACATGTTCAAGTATCCTTCTTATAAATAAATTAAATTAAATGTATTACAATGCCGACTGATGAGTAGTTAAAAAAAACCTTACTAGACCAAATCTATTGTATGGGGCGGAAACATGGAGAACAACTAGACAATTACTAATAAATTACAGACATTCATTAACTGGTGCCTGCGCAGAATAGAGGGAATTAAATGGTATGATAGAATAACTAATGTAGAACTTTGGGAGAGAACTAAACAGGCTCCATGAGAAAACAGCATAACTAGAATGTCTTTGCATTGGAACCCACAGGGGGATATGAAAAAAGGAAGACCAAAAAACACATGGAGAAGAGAGCTAGAGAATGAAGTAAGAAAGATGGGGAGGAAATTTTAGAACGACGGCATGAATTGGTTGAGGGCCTATGCTCCATTGGGGGATAGAAAGGCAGAAGAAGAAGAAGACCAAATCTAAATATCTATACAACAAACTACAACAGGCAGACAATTAAATAATTATTTGATGAGGGAAAAAAAAAAGCATAATTACCCTCACCTCCTTCCTCTCGGTCCCTGTTAAAGCCATAACCTCTACTTGACCTGTCGCTGCCAAAGCTTTTATCTCTATCACCTCCGAAGCTTCCTCTGTCTCTATCTCTGTCTCCGCCAAAGCTTCCCCGGTCTCTATCTCTATCACCTCCAAAGCTTCCCCGGTCTCTATCTCTATCACCTCCAAAGCTTCCCCGATCTCTATCACCTCCAAAGCTTCCCCTGTCTCTGTCGCCTCCAAAGCTTCCCCTGTCTCTGTCGCCTCCAAAACCTATGGAGACAAACAGAGAAAACATTTAAATAAATTACAATTACAAAAACTTCCTGTTGTAAGCCGCTATACACCCAATGTTTCAGACATCATCATCAGCGTGTGCTGTTATATTTCTGACATTATAGACATATTTTCTTCATGGGTGGCATGATTGCACTGTAGCAATATCTGCGCCCTCTGGCCGACACAACCGACTTTGTCGGGCATTTGTTCAATGGGTTAACCTTCCCGGTTGGTTTCGTGGGACCAGGCATCCTTACAGTGTCTTTTTTTTGTGTCCCTTTGTCTACAGAGAAGTAGAGCTGACTAAACTTTTTTTTAAAACTAGGTTGCGGAGAAAATTACAATAACTGCTTCAGATCAGGCATTTAAAGTAGACAAATTTATGACATTATTGGCCATTAACTAGAAATTATAATGCTGAAAAACTTACCCCTGTCTCTGTCGCCTCCAAATCCTCTGTCCCGGTCACCAAATCCCCGATCTCTGTCACCAAAACTACCACGGTCCCTGTCCCGATCACCAAATCCGCGGTCGCTCCTGTCAGAAAAGCCACCCCCAGAACTTCTATCACTGAAGCCACCACGATCTCGGTCTCCAAATCGGCCTCCTCTGTCGGAATCTCTAAAACTGCTACCACCACCTGGTAACAAAATTCTCCAAATAAGTTATTTTGGCAATGCAGTTGCATTTACTGATTAACAATTACATACAAAAAGCGAAAACGGAGCTTCAAAAAGTGTATAAAGGAAGGATAATCTTCCTTTTATTTGAGTCATATTTTTTTTCTTTCGCCTTCTAGCCCCCAATGGAGCATAGACCAACTAAAGCTCTGTCATTCAATCCTTTGTTATTGCATGCAGTCCCCCCCCTTCTCAATTTTTTCAACTTCTTTCTCCCTTTCAACATGTTTTTTTTTATCTGCCTTTATTTCTATGCCCCTTAGGGTTCCAATTGTAAAGTCAGGCAGAAAGTTCTGGTTGTTTGTCCACTTCTGGATTGTTGTCATGTTGCAAAACTTGAGCTCTGCATGCACATTTGTTTTATAGATCTGGCTTATTTATAGGCAGACTGATAGTTACTTGCCTCTCAAGCAGATGCACGCAGACTTCAACAAAGGCAACCTCTAATTAGTCTACTCCTATGACATGCTTGTTAGGAAGGCGATGGGTTCTTTCCATATAATAGGGCTCTGGTACACACAAAGGAACATTGTTCTTTAATAGAGGATTCTGAGAAAACAATGTATACCAATCAATATGTTACGTCCTTTCCTTACACCAATTGAGCCATTTTCTTCTCCAAACACTATGTCCTTTTCCGTTTGTTTATACCCAGAATACGCCCTTTTCAAAACTACACATTAAAATATCAATTGAACAGGGGTAAGAATTGAAAATTATCAATATTTTAAGCAATTATCATCTAAACTGGCAACCGAATGAACACACTCACCACTGTCTGAAGCAGGTTTGCCTCTTCTCCAATCGCCTTCAGTTCTGTCTGGCTCACCGCTCCGGCTACCTCCCCGTGTATCTTGATTTTTCTCGGTTGCCAAATCGACACGTATAGCACGCCCCATGTATTCCTGCAAAACAAATTTTAGAACAAAATTATTGCACACAGAAGTCATTCCTTTTCTTTGTATTGACCAGCTGAAACTTGACAGAGTTCATCCACTTCGGCACCCTTGTGTAGGTTCAGGTGCCCTATTTTGTGGGAATAGTAAAAAGATCCCCCCCCCCCCCCCAGCATAGAGGCAACTAATTGGCTAGGAGACAACAGTGTGCATACACATAAGCCAGATCTATAAAACGGATGTGTATGAAAAAGCTCAAGATTTAGACCAAAGTATTCAAGTGGACAAACAAAAAAGACTTTTCGTCAGAGTAAACATTAAAAGGAAAAATTGTCAGCAGCCTACTGAGTGCACTGCACAGAGTTTAAAAAGTCTTGACAATTTGTCTAATGTCATCACACAGATTGAGAACCTGGCATTCACAGGACCAGGTACCCTAGTACGTGTGATGTGTGGGACCCCACATTGATGTCCCTACCACGTACAACCGACAACAGCACACCACACTCAGGCTGTGTGGTTGTCAGGGCAGGTATCTTCTTCCTGGCATCAAACTCAATACCCAAACATAATTTTTTGGTCACGTTTTATGCCATCATCGTCATATGACAGTTGGTTGTCTGCTAAGAGGTTCACTTGCTTTAGAGTAGTGGCTCTTAACCTTCCTAATATCGTGACAATTCAATACAGTTGCTCATGTTGTGGCAACCCACAAACAATTTTCTTCATAACTTCACTGAATATGTGTTTTCTGATATTATAAGGCGACGCTTGTAAAAGGGTCACTAGACCCCAAAAAAAAGGGTTGCAACCCGCAGATTAAGAACCGCTGCTTTAGAGACATCACCTTAATACTAAACAAATGCCTTCGGAAAGTGATGAACATAAAATGGGAACAAAAAGAACAAACTTTATCTTCAAAGGGTTACAAATTGGGCACGCAATCCTGTCTGACATTAGGCCCTTCTGTGCACTTATCTTTTAGAGTAACAAGGCGTGTTATCAATAATGCATGTTATGTTTTTAATTTTAAAAAATACACATCATAGAATCATACACAAAAACACATACATTATCATACTTACACATACACAATCATATACAGACGTACATAATACAACCATCCATACATGCACCTACATACATCCATCCATACATACACCAACATACATACTTACATACACCAACATACATACCTACATACACAAACATAAAACACACACACACATACAATCACATAGACACCCACATATGATCACAATCACACATATACATATACCCACATACATGCATACACACATACCTTAATACACACACGTCCACCCACATACTTACACGAGGGATAGAGTTCAAGAAGTGAAGAAATAAGATAAACATTTGGTTAACTACTAGTATAAACAGTGATAAGACAGAAGATAGAGCTACATTAGAAACAGTCTGAGAAGAGACCATGGTAGAGAAGCACTAGAAACAGACATGTGCCAAAACCTAAGAAGGCAAGAACACTTTTTACGTTGAATACATTACTAAGGTATTCAGGAACTAATACTGATTATGTGGCTAGCTTATCAAGGTATACAGGAAATAATACTAATTATGAGACTAACACAAGATGGTATACAAGAACTAACACTAATTATGAGACTTACACACCAATGTATACAAGAACTAACACTAATTATGAGACTAACACACCAATGTATACAAGAACTAACACTAATTATGAAACTAGCACACCAATGTATACAAGAACTAACACTAATTATGAAACTAACACACCAAGGTGTGCTATTCCAAAGCTTACCTTTTCATGATATGTCAAAGCTTCCAACAGAGAGTCCCTGTTCTTGAAGTCCACATAGGCATATCCCTTGGGCCTGCCACTGTCATAGATAAGTCTCACCATCTCCACCTGACAAGATTATACAATGATTCATTAGTCAGAGACCAGCACTTTCAAATTCCAGGCACCACTAGTCTAGCAACTGGCTACTCACCATTTTTCTGCAGTTCACAACACAAAACGCGTAAGAAACAATCAAAAAGCATTCCAAATTAAATCCAACAGCTTGTTGTCCAGGAATGCACTTCACTGTTTGTCGGAACTATATTATTTTAGTCTTCATTTGGGGGAAATGCAAAGGTTTACTGTCAGAAGAAAAAACTTGTCACAGCTAAAAACAGTAATCATGCCTATCCGCCATATGACCAGAAAATAAAAGCCTAAGTCCAACCCTGTATGAAAATCAATTCTTTAAAACCGCGCTCCAGCAACATATCATTTTGTTCAGTAAATATTCATATGGGTACACAAAGAACATCCACTGCAGATGTCTTCAGCCTTTAGGACATCTACATGATTAGATTCAGAACCCAACAAAAGACAAACTTGAGATGTATCTATGTCATCACACAGATTGAGAACCTGGCATTTACAGGACCAGATGCTCTAGTACGTGTGATGTGTGGGACCCCACACTGATGTCCCTACCACGTACAACCGACAGCAGCACACCACACTCAGGCTGTGTGGTTGTCAGGGTAGGAGCCTCTCCAGTGATTTTATATTAATACTATTACCATGCACTATATGTTACTTCATATAATTATATGAGAATTTTCAACTACATCACCATTTTCCTCCATAACAATAACTTTTCAGTCCATATGATTTCTTTGTTAATGCTTTATCTAAAAAAAAAATTTGTGTTAACCATTTAAAAACTCTGGCAGGAAAATCTGGTTGGTAAATATTTGGTCTTGTACCAAAACTTTCAGTTTTGCGTGTACATCCATTTTACAGATCTGGATTATTTATAGGCACAGTCTCTTGTCTTCCAAGTAGATGCACTCTTACCCATAAAGGAAAGAACCCTTAAGTCCCAAAACAGTTGCCATTTATGACATAGTTGTGAGGGGGACAATATGCCAAACTCACCCCTAGAGGGCACCAAAACCTACATGGAGATTATTAGCCATATTAAAGACCACAGATACCTGGGTCCTTAATCCTGTCAACAAATACTCGATAAAATCAGATATGTCAGCCGAAAATGTAACACAGTTGAACAAAAAGGAGAAACACCGCAAAGTATGGAAATATACAAGGCAGATCAACTATAGAAGAATTGCAAATACTTCGGACAGCCTAGGATTTGAATTTGAAAACTGACTTTACAGCAATGGGTTTTGATCACACACAGCTCAGTCTCTGCTAGCCACATTGTGCTGCACAAATTACAAGAAAGCTGTGACCCAACCAAACCAAAAAACAAGGAATTGTTAAATGGTGACAATGGATTATATGTCATCACACAGATTGAGAACCTGGCATTCACAGGACCAGGTGCTCTAGTACGTGTGATGTGTGGGACCCCACACTGATGTCCCTACCATGTACAACCAACAGCAGCACATCACACTCAGGCTGTGTGGTTGTCAGGGTAGGCATTTTCTTCTGGGTCTTACAAACACCAAATGTATAAATAAAGAGAGTATACCTGACTGACTAGACACAAAAGGGAAACCAGTTTATTTAGTATGCAATAACCAAATATACAAACAGAGAGGATACATGTAATTCACTAGGCATAAAAGTGATATGAATAACCACTGAGGGAAACCAGATTTTTGAGCATGCCATAACCAAACGTAAAAAGTAATAGGAGACATTAAGTGGTGGTTGTGTTTTGAGAGGAATGGCCACTGGCACAACTTGTGTGGCTTGCGAACTAGTAAGTGTGTGTCTATTTTAGGATGTGAACCACTGGTTAACTCTTTTTCCCAAGGAACATATCATATGTTCATATGTTTCTTCTAACTAGAAGCCCAATAAACGCATAATGTGCCAATTTTACGTCTCTTTTGACTACCCCTTGGGCCTCTTGATGTTAAAGCCCCTGGGATTCAAAGAGTTAAGCCGTATGCAACAATATGCAGTTAACCAGGAGCCGTTGTGGCCAGACACTCACCTGCACTTTATTTCAAAAAATTACCTTGGCTTCCAGGTTGACCCAGCTTTGAGTGGATCCAAGGTGCAGTCCCAGGAAGTAAAGGCAGACCACATGAGGCTGACCACATCACCCACCTCTGTGCCGAGTGGTCTATATATAGGTCTAGCCATATATGCCTAAAGGCTTGGGAAAGGGTCCTTTACTTTTTAGATACTTTTTTTTAAATGGAGAACACTTTATGCAACAAATTTTTATCACTGGAGGTTAAAAATGATTTGTCACAGGCTATAAAGCCAGTTGTAACATATGGTTGTGAGCCCCGGACAACTGCTGAACAATTTATTGAGGCTTAGAGATGTACAGTAATCCCAAAGGAGATAACTTATCACAGAAAGAAACTCATTTTTTTTTTAAACATCTGTGAAAAAGAGACAAAGGCAATGTGACAACATTCTAGACAGCCTTTTGCCATGGCGGGATGTCAGCAAACTAAATGATACATGTTGAGGATCACTGATTGTGGAGAGGCATGATTGCCCATGCCAATCGGAAAGGGACCTGAGGATGATAGCGATGACACAGTTTACTATTCAGACTGAGAAACATATAATTTACTGGAAACTTACATCTAGTTTTGAGAAAAACTGCATCAAATCTGATTCTTTGGCATCATACGGTATGTTTCCAACATACGCAGAAAAGGGCCCCTCCTTCGGGATCTGAGAGAGGTCAACTTTGGGACCCAGAGCTGACTTAGGAGCGGTTGGCAGCATAGACCTGTCAAACTTGACTGGCGCATCATAATCATCTGAGGAAAGGCAAACATTCAATACAATCAAGGCCCAAAAAAATCCACTGAATGTCCTTTACAAAACAACAATTCAAAATACTAAATTCTACAGATTTCACCCCTTCATCCCCCTTCCCAAAAAATAGACAATAGAACACTGCTCTTCTTTGCGGGCCATCTTTAAAACTGTCATTATGAGATCGCTGTGTTTGCACTGTGATGCTATTTGCTTAACACTCTTGACATCCTTTACAACAATATTGACAGGTTACAAGACAACTGTCATTTTGAGGTCACTGTGTTCGTCTGCAGTGTGATGCTATTTGCTTTAAACTCTTGTCATCCTTTACTGTTCTCAAGGTCAGAATGTCTTTTTCAAGCTGAAAATCACTGTTCATAGTTGGAGAAAAAAAATTCATGGTCAATTCAAGATTTCCCGGTCCAATGCGAACCCTGTTTACAATAATACTGACAGGTTACAAGACAACTACATGGTTATTGTAAAAAGATTTTGATTTGAAGCCCGCCCTCGTACACGCCTAAGAAAATTCCAGGGAATTTTTGTGCCAACCAAAAGCACATAATAAAGAAGAATTAAAACGGAATGCCCACCACTGACCACTTCCGTGGCTAAGATTGGGGAATGTGCGCCAGCTTTCTGGCTTAATATTCATTTCCTCAAAGACAGACAGACAGACAGGAATGAGGGCTTTTGTAACACAGAAAAGTATTTTCATCTCTCGTGTGACATCACACCCTCCTATAGACAAACAACTCTAAAACCTCACAATTTCACGTGAAACGGTTGTCTGTGCTCCCAGAGATTTCAGTTGGGAAATGGAGAGCAGCTGGTTGCCACAGAACTTGCTTTATGCCTCATGCAATAAGTAGCAGATTGCTGGTGGTGGCATCTCTAGTGGTTGTCTTATACATCTGTGTGTGTACGCTGTGGGGTTTTGCCAGGACTGCTATCTGACTTTTCATTTTGGATGCTGATTAGCAATCTTGAGTGATTTACGACAAATGGGAAGAAAATGTGATTTGCGATGTTGGAGCCGGAACTAAAAATCTGGAGCACACTGACACAACAGTAATACCAATAATAACTTCTTTATCTTCTGCATTTATCCGAAGATGTAAAAGTGTTGTGCCGATTTACAACACAGATGTGATATTTTCGCCTTTTGGTTAATACATCAGACTTCTACAGGCATTTTTTCCATGAATGAGCTGTTTGTGTGCAAACGTCACTGTGGTGGGTAAAAAGTTAATGAAGCCAGGGCTTTCTGAAGCATGGCTACACACAGGCATTCAAGCTGTGTGGGTGGGTTGTGTATGTAATCATTTGGGGGCTATTGAATGAGCCAGTGGGGAAACATGAGTCGCTTAAAGTTCATGACAGGCTTGTGGATATCACCTTCCATCCCGGATACTGTTAGGATATGTATGTGTCGACAGCATGGGTGGGTTTTAGCAAGAAAGTGGGATTCAAGCGGAACTGGCAGTGGGTGGGAAAAGTCCTGTGGTAGGTTAAGTGGGTCATTCGCACGCGAATTGTTCTCATGTGGATGCATGGACTGTATTAAAAATGTGGTTTTAATCCGTTGGGGCTCATCAACTCTACAGATAGCTGTGCTAGATAGTGAGCTGAACTTCATTAATCTGTTGGAATGATAGTCTAGAATTGACTCGTGTTGGCCATGTATGTTGGTTGTTGGCACAATGGTAGCTATGTGGCATGCTTGTTGACAGGGTGTCCTCAAATGATACAGAAGGTGCTGCAGTAGCTTTGTGTGTGAAGACCAACATGGATTTGTGATTGGTAAGTATCAGAGGGCTGGTTAATCGGAGGTAGTTCTGTGACACCTCAACGTCTGAATTTTTCTCATCAACTGGTGCAGCAACCTTGGATCCTCGGTTGGCGTGGTCTTTAGAAGACTGTCACTGCACATCACATAGGTGTATCTGCACGATCGGGTGGTGAGTCAACTTACTGGCAGGTTGTTTGTCCATGTTCTAGGCAGACTGCCGATGTGAGTGAATGTGGCAGGTAGGTAGACAGACAGACATTGATCACCACTTCACCATCGTAATCATCCATAATAAAGAGACTGATAACACTATAAAATCAGAACTGGTGTGATGTATATTACAGTACTTGCAGACAATGTTATTGGTAACGATAGAACAAATTACGTGTGCCTGAATTATTGTGGTGTTCCTTGGTTGAGTTGGCCTCCCTTTCACCAGTTATAATCACCATCAGCATGTGCAGTGCCAATGAGAGTAGGTAACCATGGTTCATTAAATGGGGAAATCCTGTCTGCGTGCCTGTAGGACTGACATTTCTAACTAATACCACTGAATACTTGGCAAGCCTGCAATATATCTCCCGATAATAGGTCTCAGTTAGCCTTACTAAAATAACTCGTCAATAACACCAAAATGAATTTATGAACAAACATTCCCTGACACTTACCCCCCTCAGGATTTTCAGACAAAATAGCCCAGTTGGTACTCTTTGGCTCAGAGTATCCATCATCCTGAGCCAGAAACTGATCTAATGTCAGAGTTTTCTTTCCTTCCTTCTTCTTTTTTTTACCTACAGAGGGAACACAGAAAAGGTTAATCATCTATACTATGAATTGTAAACAATTTCTGTATTTTGTGTGTTTATTATAAATGAAGTGTTAACTTCTCCCAAATCGTGACCAATGAACTTGTTGAATTCTTATTTGCCACCATTACTACAATGCTTCATTTAACAGTCACACTGAAGGCCAAGGTTACTGTTAATTTCTTTAATTATCGCGACAATCAGCAAAAGTAAACTTACACTCAAGTCTCATATTTTTTCCTATAACTCATCTTTTTGTGTCTGAGACAATATATTTGTCTCCCAAATTGTTAAATACTACAAGGAATGCTTTGGGTGCACCTAGGGGCAATGTCTAAAGATATGACAGAGGTGGAGACAAATATATCAAAGATAAATATTAAATGCATATATTTTCACTTTTACTTGGATAAAGGATGGTATAGACACATGTACCACCCATTAAGATTGAAAAACTGGCCAAATGAGTCAAGACCATACTCAAAGTTGCAAGGAACTAAAAGTAGATTCCTAAAATCAGTCAATTTTATACCAACTTGTCTGTCTGCACCTAGTCTATACCCACCTAATGCAGACCTTCAGGTAAGCATCTAGGCCAGTGTCTTACGGTTTTTTCCACCTCCCCCTTTTTTAAAGTGTCAAAATATTTAATTTAAATACATTACTTTAAAAAATGTTTAGTAACATCACAATCATGTGCGCTGCCAGTTGGCGTAGGCGCTCATGCATCTGCACAGATCACGATCTTAAGGATATCCCTCCACGCCATCATTTCAGCCCATCCTGCATCATCCCTCTTGGTCTGCCCCCAACCCTTATTTCCACTGATCTTTCCCGTTGTCACGAAGTTCTCCAATGCCTCTCTTCTCATTATGTGGCCAAAGAAGTGTTTGTCTCCTTTTTATTGTATATATAGAGACCTATTTCATTAGCTTCTTTCCAACAATGTTTAGGATAAAACAATATTACAAGAAACAAGCACATATCACAACATTAGTACATGTCAGCACACTGATTGAGAACCTGGCATTCACAGGACCAGGTGCTCTAGTACGTGTGATGTGTGGGACCCCACAATGATGTCCCTACCACGTACAACCAACAACAGCACACCACACTCAGGCTGTGTGGTTGTCAGGGTAGGAAAAAAATCTTAATGTAATGTAACATCACTGTCATTTTTATAAAGAAGTCTCGATGACCAGCACACAAGGAAAGTAACTTTTTTTTTTTAAATTACCACCAATTACTGTTCTGAAGAGAATAGGGAATGGCGAGACAGATGTACAGACAGACAGTACCGTCGAAACTAGAATTTTTCGCTTGCTGCTGAAGATGGGTACAGGGCGCTTATGTGAATTCCCAAGTGCTATGTTGATTCTTTCAAAACAAAAAATCCAGTTATCTTAAATGATGAAGCAAAAGAGGAAGTTAAAGAATTTATATACCTTGGAAGTAAAGTTACTCCAGATGGAGATACTAAACAGGATGTAACATCAAGAATAAACAAAGCTAATCAAGCATTTGCCATGCTTAACATAATATTTGGAAATCAAAGAGATTTAGTTTAAAGACAAAACTCAGAATATACAAGTGCACCATTTTGGGAATACTTTTAAACAGCAGTGAATTTTGGAAAATGACAGTGGGAATTACACATAAACTTGACACTTTTCAAATAAAAGTTTAAGGAGAATTCTACAAATATTTTGGTCAAACAAGATCACAAATGAAGAAATGAGGAGGAAAACAGAATGAGCATCACTGGCAAATGATATCAAAATAAGACATGTTTGCAGGATACCTTGTGATACTCTGACAAAAACAGCTCTCCGGTGGTCAGCAGATGGGAAAAAGAGATTTGGACGACTTAAGGAAACCTGGAGAAGGACAACAGAACGGGAAATGAAGGAATGTAAAATGACATGGGATACCATGGGCAGAAAAGCAGCAGACCGGCAGCAATAGAGATCACTTGTGAATGCTTTATGTGTCAACAGTGACATGAAGAGGATAAAGATAATAATGATTCTTCATTCAACTACTGTTGTCATGGGGGCTAACTGGCTGCAACTGCTGGGGCATATAGACAGAATTTAGGGCGTGGACAAAAAACTAAATTGGGCAGACCAAGAAGACTGTAAAGATAAAAGACAAGCAGATCTGGAAAAACAAGGCCAAATAACGAAGACGAATGCAGGTGGGTGATATCTGCAGCAATGAACTTCAAGGTCTCTGAAAGCTGAAGAATACATGACAACCCCCATAGCAGAAACTGCAGTTGTGGTGTAAAATGTTTTACGCCTTTATAAATGTGTGGTCACAACTTTATCATGACTTGATCTATCTATAACATGGTAATCTTTAGTACCAGTTTTGGTGGCTTTCTATTTGATAAAATTTTTGTGTTCTTCTGTTTACAAGAGACGTAAGATTGTTCTCCAGCTGCACACATATATATAGACTTTATAGGCTTGGAACCACTTGCAAGTTGGACCTATGACATACTCTCTGGAGAATAAAAGATGGGTAGAAGATGCTGAGGTCGGTTTCTTCTAAAATATAAAGACGTAAGCCACGTGGAACATAAATACAAGCCTTTAGGTGGATTCACAAGGGAACAGAAAGTGTAAGCCATGTGCGACAGAGATAAAATCAGATAAGGAATAGAAAATTACTGCAAATAGGTTAAAAGCCAAGAAAAATGGTTTTTATAAATATACATGCAAACGCAACAATGACCCAGAAATTAAATACTCTAGTAGTTAAAGTATGTCTTGCTAGTCTCACCGCTGCCAAAGGATATTATTCATACGCAACCCTACAGAACAGTATAACAATTTCAGGAAATGGTGCCACCTAACTGAAAAATGCAATACATTTAATCTGACTGCACAATGGCATTCCCACTTATGCTTTTTGCTCGGATGCATAAGCCGAGCCAATGTAATTCTACTGACTGTCCCTTGAGAATTTCAAAAGAATGGTATTGAACAGCTACCAGTATGCAACTTCAAATCAACTTCAACTTATGATTTCAAATCAACAACAACATGTTAAAGCAACGTTTTTACCATTTAAATTTGGACAAAGAAGATTTAAACAACAGACTGATAATTTATTGTAAGGGATATATTTGTTTGCTTAATTTTATTCAATTGTTATTTTTGTAATCACATGATCAGATAAAGCCAAATAAAACTTATCTACTCTGTGTGTCTTCTTTGGTCAAACAAATATTTTCTTAGTAACCTTTTCCATTGACTTACCTTTAGCACCTGCAGGGGCTTTGGGTACATCTTCATGTGGAGGATCTATAAATTACAAGAAAAAATGTTGGGAAAAAAATATATTTATATATGATTTTAGTTCATGTGCAGTCAGATAAGGTGGTACAGGTCTAGAGAGAATTGTGTAGCTAGCTAGGGGTGACCAGGGGTCAGGGTCATACTCAGAGGAGAGGCAACCTAAACTCTTTGTCTGCTGCTGAAGTTGATGGAGTGTTCGAGGGGATGCCCCAAGTATTGTAATGTCAACCATTTGCTAAGCACAACACTCGTATAAAATGTACCTGCACTGTAAGAAATATCTTCTAATTGTCAATTTTACCATCTTTTTTTTTTAAAACTGTCTTTACTGTGTGTATGGTTACCTTAAAAAAAGTTTAGGGTGCGGAAGGGGTGTCTTTAGTCTGAGTATTTAAAGAACCATGGCGTAGTGAGTAGTGCAGTCGCTATGAACTGTGCATGGTAATCTTAGCAGCAGATTCAAAATGAGACCTAGGAAACCATGTAAAGGTTCCACAGAAGGACACTGATACCTGGCTGTGCTCTATATTTATTAAACCGTAGAAAAACATATTTTTAAAAAATTTAACGAATAAATCAACAGAATACAGTTTGATGTGAGTTGGTAAAGAATCTGTACCATGCACTGGAAGATGCAAAGTAGAAGAAAAAGATCAGAATAGTCTGGAAAAAGAAGCCAAGCAAACTTAAGAAAGCTGTACTATGTGGATTCTAGAAAAGGTTCTTCAACCTGCAGCCTGTAAATGTTTTACAGTAGTATTTATGATCTTTCTGTTTATTTATACAATGGATCAACATCAAGGAACAAGGGTGGTAATCCATAAGTGTGCTGTTCTACTAACGTGCCTGAGTCTGAAGAATCCCATTGCAGTGTAGTACTGACGAGGATCCTGAAATACTTTAGGTAGATTTTAAACTTTGAAATTGTTCCCCGGGCAGCACCTTTAAGCTACTCTTTTCGATTTCCAACTGTCAAGGGATTGTTTTATGTGCGCAACAATACACACAGGCGTCTGATCTTACTACCAGATACCAGGAACTAGAGGTTCACGTGACAAAATCCCAGATTATGATGCTTCCCATTTTTCAAATGCGGGCCCCTTGATAACAGCTGAACAGCACTGATTTAGAAGAATGGATCAAATGCTGCTAAGCTAAACAAGCATGAAGTGAAATAGTAGTAATTTTGAGCACTGTTAAAAACTGGATGTGTTGGGCAAAAAAGCAGGTACTGAGGTTAGCTCTTAACCACACACAGCTCATGTGGCAACTGCCTTTTTTACAAGACGAATGAAGAAATGTTCTGAGTTTCCCATCCATAACCCTGTATAGGTAAACATTAAGGATTTGGGGGGAGATAAACCCACTCCCTCTAACAAGTACATTGACAACTATTCAGAGTGCATCAGAGAAGTAAAGACCCCAACAGTCTGATATATCTATAAGATAGATTTGCACATCAAACTCAAGCTCTCAAAGAAGACCAATGTCCAGCTGTGGCAAAACAACCAGAACTGTCCGCCACAGGTCCCAGCCAGTAAATACCAAGAATAAACATATTGTAGCCACTTTAGTCAAATTTTCAAAATCATTTTTTCCTTATAAAACCAGTACAGCTGCATACATATTGAAAAGCTCTTTCCAACGGTACCTCTTTCATGCCTGTATGTCAATTCTAAGCCAAGTTATTGAAGTTTTTGTGGAAAAAATGAACAAAGAAGAAAAAATAAAAGTGAGATAAAACTTGTCGCCTTAAAATCGTAAGTCTTAGAGGAGTGTTTAAAAAGTGCTTTTACTTAAAAAGTATTTAAAAAAGACCCTAGAAACCATATATTTTTGGATTCGGGACAACAATCTCTAACTGAATAAAGATGAAATTTTTAGTAGTTACGTAATATCAACTAATAATTGACTAATAATTATTCAAAATGGCCGCCATTTATCATAATCATTACTCAATATGTTCTTATAAACTTTATAACGGTCTTTACATTTTTTTTTCCTTGGTACGTTTATTGGAAAAAGAAAAAAAGCTTTAAATGTGCTAAAGACATAAGCACATGTCAAGCTCAAATTAGAACTAGGTCGCTTATTGAATATTTATATTAATTAATTAATTTAAAAATTTTTTTTTTTTTTTTTTCACATCACCATCAAATTTCGGAACAGATGAATTTTTTTTCCCTTAGTCCTGGTGATGTATCATGTGCTTCTCCCCTCCCCCTTATTTTATGTTATTTTGGCCACTAATTATTAACTAAAAATAACCATTGTCACTAAGTAAGCGAAACCATCTTTACAAATCTGAAGTACACTGACATTTTCCCCCTTGACTCACTCTGAATAATCCAGTCATCACAAATGAACAAACAATTTGTGTGGTTTATTTCAACATTTGATTATTTTTATTTATAAAGCATACTGTCAAAGTGCCTTCCACGTCCACATGGGGGTTCTTTTACCTCTACCTTTGACAGCAATTTTTGACTGTCAGGACAAGTGAGTGCCCTGCTCTGCTTAAGTGCAGAGTTGTCCACTTATTCCGGTGGATACTCGGTCCCCAGAGCTGTGTTTGCCCATCCTCTACCGCGCAGAACTGCAGTTGGGATTTTCCCTTCACCGAGTTATGAGACCATAAAGGCATTTCCCAAAACTCTCCGGTACTTTAGAAAGATTTCATATCCCAGCATAAGGATTACATCATTTGCTTCTGCTATCCAATGCCAATCTAAACACACACAAAAAAAAAAAGTAATTAACATACACATATAATAGTAGACAATTTAAAAAATGCACTTAGCAAAACAAACGATTTGAAAAAAAAAGATTACCATTGTCAGTATTGTGTATGTGTTGTGACAGCTAAGATATGCAATCGTCAAAAGCCAATAATTTCATGTTTTTTTTTTTTTCAAACAAATCCTGCATGTATCCACATTCCTTTCTGGTTGGAGTGCCCACAAAGCAACTCACACGTCTGTCTGTAATGATCAAGTTTTCACTGGGTTTACATTGTTTACCTTGGCTCTTAAAGAAGGAATGTAACTATTAGCACATGATTAAGTGGGGTTTTCTGAAAATAGTTCAATTAAAATTGCAAAATATACACCTGAAAAAAGAGGGTTTGAAATCTATTCACAGCTGATATATGTTCATACGTCCCAGATGGTATGTAATGATTATTATAAAGTATTACATTTTGTTTAAACAATTAAACATGTCGTTATAGCTACTCACCATGTCCATTAGTCTGTGTTTGACTGCCGACGAAAGCTGCTGTCGATTGGGCTGACAAGCGAGCGTGATGATGACTTGCACTCTTAGAAGCCTTTATCTTTACTGAGCGTCAACTAAAATAAAACTTTGAGACAGCTTTATAATAAAATTACAATTCTGATATAAATTTGTATGTTCCAAAAATAAGGTTTTGATTATTTTAAAAATATTCTATGATTTCTAAATCGGTTTTCTTTTTTAAAGTACTTATGTTTTATTTTTAATCTTCATAAAATGCCAGTTCTTTTGTGGCAAAGTCTACCAGAAATTCTGTCATAGTCATCTTGAAGGTGGCATCTGTTGGTCCTTCATCTTCCTTCCAGTAATACAGCTCTATTACTGTCTTCAGGCTGTCTTTTTCTTTCACGCTCTTTACCATTTCAATATAGACAGTGTCTACTCCTTCTTCATACCAGACGTGTCGCAGTAACACACCTGGCAGTGCATTAGCGTTGTTGAGAATATTTTTCAACTTCTCCTTTGTGTTCAAACTCTACATCTTTAAATAGCTCTAGGTCGAGAACTGACAACACTGACTCTGTACGCACAAAGTCTGATAATCGTTTTTTCATGTACATCTCTTTGTGTCTTGTCTAACCTCTGGACATCTTTCTGCTGTCTTTTCTTCTGTTGCTCAGCTTGATGCTGCCTCACTTTAGACCCATAACGGATGCAAAACGGACCAAAAAGTTTTGGTAGTCGTCATCAAATGACTGTAGCCAGTGCAAAGTTTTGTTTTTGCACAGCCTTTATTTTAGCATCAATAAATCCTATGGAGGCATTTGGGGCTCTTTGCAAAGCTCTATCCAACATTGCCATAATTCTTTCAGCCTCCATATTATGAACCGGGGCGGAAGATGTCCTTGCTATCATTTCTTCAGATGGATTAGACAAGGCCCCTGCAAAATATGGCTTAAACTGCTGTTGCAATGTTTTAATAAACGCAGATGATACATTTTTTGCTACTATACTGTAATCTTTAGTAGAATGGTGAAGCTTGGTTAACTCAGACTCCTCCATGTCCCTGTCAAACGCATCAGTTACAGCATGGATCAAGTATTCCGGAGTCTTCTCCACTGACGTGAGATGGCCAAGACATGATGTTATCTCTTTTACCTGGTTGAAAAGAGTGATAAAGAAATATTGTTAAAAAAATTTTTTTATAACAATACACATCTACACTAGTACCCTAATAAACCTGTAAAAATAAGCAAATCATATGAAAACACTAGGACAGAGGGAAAGATTGCTGAATCAAGACAAAAACTGAAGCAAGACAAACAAATTGTATCATCCAACTAGCCCCCAGCGAGGGGCCGACAAAAAAAATTAACCACAAGCAAATTCTTACTGCTTCGAAGTGTCCTCTTCCATCCTCCTTTGAGTAAATATCTGCATCCATGGTCCTGTGAGGAAGCGGGAGTACATGCCCATTACTTGCAAGTGTAGAAGGACACTCGGATCAGTCAGGCCTTCATAAATTTTTGCGCACACAAACTTTCCCAGCCTGCATTTTACAAACTCTGTCAGCTGGACTCGATGCAGGTATATCACCGCTGCCATACTGAACATGACATTCAAACGGTTCCCAACATAGCGTTTGAAGATACCGGGATTGATATTCTTCGTCTTCAAAAAGGCTGTGAATGCAGCTGGATCACCAGACCCATCTTTGTACCTGGGAAAAAAAATTAAAACGTCTTGTTATGTGCATGATTATGTGATTTACTGCAGGCATTAAAATGAAAATTACATTATTTTTAGTATGATTTCCAGATTTTCACTACGCTCCATATATGATGATATATCTACCTGTTGTCAAACTGCCAAATACATGTATGTTGAATAATCTGCCACAGACATGAAAAAAAAAAATGATATAAAATAGATGTCATGAGACAGGACTTGCTACACAATGATAAAAAACTGACTAAACATTACCTCAGTTTGGATACTTGATGAATCAGTGTTGCGGCCCGGCAGCCCAAGGAGGATTTCTGACCATCTTGGTCTGTCTTAGTATCCAGCTTACGCAGAGCTTCACGAGCTGATCTGGCAAGGCCGTCTAATGGGTGCACCATACATTTTAAATCGGCCACGTCTCCGTCTCCACAGTCCTCTTTGAGTCGTTCAGATACTCGGTGGTTTGCAGCAGCTCTGTCGCTCATGGTGCTGTGCAGTTTGCTTTTCACTTCTTCCAGGATGGCTGTTGCGGGTAACTGGAAGGCGGCACAGTAGATCTCGCAGACATCAGATAAGGCTTCCATTGCATGCTGGTACAGCTCCTCTGCTGATGAACCTGAAATGGGTCTAATATTGAGAGTTAATGATTGCCTACCTAGTATTGTTTTGAGGGACACATGAACTTCGTTATATATGTATACCTGCCTTTGTTGTGGAATCCCAGGCTAATGTGATGAGATCGCACTCGTGCAGCATCTGGCCAGCTTGAATGCTAGCAAGCACCCCGAGTTCGTAAGCCATCTGTGCTATTGTAGTCACACATGGAATCTGAGAAAAAACTTTACCAAAAATTATCCCTGCAACAGAAGACAACAAACGAGAAATATTCCCAACACTAACATTACACATTAAAAAGTCATAAACACACTGCCTAAATCTATAATCATACTTCCCTGCCTCTTTTGTTGTAACAATGTTGTCACTGTCTTCACTGTCTTCCTTAGAATCTGCCTGTTCCACTGCTTCGTTTTCCCAGTATTTACTTCGATCTGTCTCCTCTTGCAGTCTGGTTTTTACATAGTCTAATTCACTGCTAATCTTCTTTTGGATTTCACAAAACTGTTCTTTCGATTGCTTGTTCCTCTTTTCCAAATCAGTGATTTTTTTCTCAGATTGCTTCAGTTTGCTTTCTAATATTCCTTTGGCAATTGTCAGTTCCTTTATTTCTTCCTCGTGTTTTGCTTTAATTGACATTTCCTTTTTCCTGTGCCGCATTTCCTGTTCTTGGAACTGTTTGTTCAAATTTGAATGTTTGACTCTCCAAAGTTCAGCTGATGCCGATTTCCTCTTTATTGTCAAATTCAATGTTTTCAGTGACATCTGTTTCTTTTCCTCTCTATGTCGAATTCTAAGTGCTCTTATCTGCAAACGCAAGTGCCTGTTCTCCTTCAGCATGTTCAGACTTGTCCGTTGCTTAGCTACACAGTTGTCACAGTCTTTTTTTTAAACGCTTTGGTGATGGTGACCTGGAGATCAGTGAAACAGAAAATGAAACATTATGATTATGAATGGAGTTAAAAGGGTAACTCGTCAATCCATGGTGTTGCAGAAGTGTGTTGCGCATGATCAGTTGTATGGTCAGCTGGTGTCACAGGTGTGAGTGGTGGGGATGAATGATCAGTTGGCTGAATTAGTGGTGGGGATGAATGATCAGTTTGTATGAGTGGTGCACATGTATGGTCAGGCTGCACAACTGATGTAGATGTTGCAGAAGAAGAACTTAATGATTCTCCAGACAAAAAGGATACAAAAAATGGCTGCTGGTTAAAACTGATGAGATCAGCCCACTGCTTGGTGTAATTCATTTTTTGGCAGCATTTCTTTTAATATCATTTATACACGCCTTCACTCTCCCCTCATGTATCTGCTTGTCTGGTTCAGCTACCTGCACCATGCCCTTGATCATCCTGCAAATATCTACAGTTGTCAATTTCTCATTTACAATCAGTCGGGCTATATAGCCTTTCTTAACTGGGTACTCTGGCTCAAAGGATGACAGATATGCTCTCATATCAGAAGCTGTTTTATTTTCCATGGTGAGCTGTGTAAGAAAGTAATATTTATATAAGCATATTATATGCGTATGCAACATCATATGGGAAAAGGGAGGGGGGTGGTGTAATATTGTAATAGTAATTACATTGTTTTTACATCTATTAACTGTATGTGTCACATAGTGTGTAGTATATTTTATATATATATTAAATATATGTATTGTATGTATGTATTATTGTACTATACTATATATATATATATATATATATATATATATATATATATATATATATATATATATATATAATTATAATAATAAATTCATTAAATTATAATAATTATATCATGTATCATTTAAAATATTTATTTAAAAAAAATTTCAAATTTAATAATTAAATACTATAACATAACTATAAAAATATTGATAATGCATTATCTGTATTAAGAATAAATATAACTTCTTAAAATAAATACCACATAAAAGACAGCTGTTGTTATGGTAACTGCAGTAACGCCTTCCACAAAAGTAACAAAATGGCCTTTTCCTTTTTCGCCTCAGATAGTCTGATTTAATTAAAAACCATTTCTGTATATCTCCCCTATCACGTCGTTGGGTGTAAACTGACTAAATAGACTTAATTATGGATGATAAAAATACATTTCACAGTTTTAATCAGTTTTAAGAGCCTACAAAATAACTGTATATTAAATAACTACCGATAATTAAAACACGCTGAAGGCTTATTCTAAAGCAACAAGATGGACGCCAATTTCTTCACCCACGATGGTTTCAGGATCGCATCTTGAAAATCCCACTGCAAATCACCCCCATAGAATATACTAATAAAATTTTACAAACTAAAGTTAAATTGGACAGAGAATCGAATAATTACAAGAATATTACGTTTAAATGCGTTGAACGCTATCAAATAATGTGGCTACTTACCGCTATATATTCAAACACGATCGGCAGTAGCAAAACACGATCAAATGCTTTCAGACCACGAGGAATGTGAAAGTCAACCAATTTGCTTTGACTTGGGCTATATATAGCTCGTCGGAATCCCCGAGGTTTCCCGAATGTGTATAACGAATCATCATCGTGAAAAAATTCACCGACAACTTACGGACATTGTTATGGGTAGCAACCCAGCCCGTTCCGTTTCCGGAAGTGCCCGATCGATCGAAGAAAACGTAGTACCTACATATTGATCACCAGTGATTTTTCTCCCCGCCCTTCCTTGTGACGTTTGGGACTTTTGTTTACATTCACACAACAGAGATATTTAATCCTTATCAAAACATAAATAACAACAAGCTATTTTCATTTAAACTGTATAGCAAATTTTTTTTTTTAAATACACCCGAATTTACAGCATGCCTCAAAATCCGCCACCCACGACATATAAGCTTAGTAAAACATGTACAAATGTAAAATTGTGTGGAGAGCATTTAAAAAAGAATACATGTTTGATCAACAATACATAATTTTATAGGTGATAGCTATAACGTAAGTGAAAGGAAGGTTTAAAAATAAAAACTAAGTCAGCGGCCATAAGTTGGACAATTTTGTACGAGCTCCGTCCCGTCTTGAGTCGAAGCAGGTAAGATGGAAATTTCTGAATTTAGCACTGAACCGACGAAGTTTTCCCTCAGTACTATACAAAACTATTCAAACAGCCAACAAATAACAAACAAACAATCGTTCGTTACAAAAACAGCCTATTAAAATCAAGATATACACAAACATTCCGCAAAAACTTAAATCGCCAAACTCCCGCATCTAAAACGTGGCCGGAAAAAAATGGGGGATAGCCTGACTGAAAGTTTACGCAGTACCAAATATGGAGAATTAAAACTCTTGTTGCTGATATTCCTGCCGTACAATAATACATCTGAGATATTTTTCAAACAACTCGAAGTTATGCTAGTGCATAAATTACATTTATGTACATCAAAATAAAATGGAGACGCTATAAAATACATCAATAACTCGCTGGAAGTTCACATGCTTTCTTACCTCCGGTATCCATCTTGAAAAGAGTAGCACGGGGCAAATACATGGTGACGCAGGTTGATGGCGCTGGCTGGCCAGGAGGCTGGCGGAAATGTCCAGCTTGGGGTTGGATCTGGGAGCTGGGTCCGTTTCCGGAGGATGGGTCGCTCCCTGGCGAAGTGGCCAAGTTGTTGGGCTAGCAATCAGAAGGTTGTGGGATCGTTTCACAGACGCGTCATTCAGCCCACTAGTGCATAGTGAACTTTTTTAACAGAGATTACTGGGTGTCGTCGCTGGAGCTAGGGAGTTCGTGCTTTGTGTGACACTCATGGCAGGCAGGATAACACCAGGTGCAATCTTTTTTTTCTTATTATTATTAACCGCCTGTGAAAGTTTTGATTGATCATCAGTTTCTGGACTTTAGTTTTATTCCAGAATCCGAGTTTTATTTGCGTATCCGTTTTTATCCTGGGGTAGGAGCCTGTCCTACTACTAGGCGCGTCCACCAGATGGCGGATGGTGGAAAGGCCTCTAGATATAGAGGCTAGCCACAAATATATTGAATAAGTGGCCGTGGACCAAAACAGGTGATGGTCATTGAGAGGAGGCGAGTTAGTTGGTGGGACAGCTAACTCTATAAAATACCTCAAAACTCTACGACATGGCCATCGGCGGGTAAGAGGCATAAAGAGGGGCGTACGACAAGAATGTGTACTGTCACCTGATTTGTTTTCAACATACAGTGAATATATAATGCGATCTTTAATTGATATGCCCGGAATTGTGGTTGGTGTGCACAATATAAACAATTTACGTTATGCTGATGACACAGTCTTGATAGCAACAAGTCAGAAAGAACTACAGGAAATGATAGACACTGCGGTGTTAGAAAGTGGAAGAATTGGCCTCAGTTTGAATAATGGGAAGACAGAAGTAAGGGTGGTATCAAAGAAACAAATTATTACTAAATGTGTAATAAAAGTCAATGGTGTTATTTTAGGACAAGTACAGAAATTTAAGTATCTGGGCACATGGATAACATCAGATGGAAGATGCATAACTGAAATAAGAAACAGAATTGGACAGACAAAAACTGCATTTTATAAAATGAAAAACATCTTGTGCAATATATCCTTGTCATTGAGAGTTAGAAAAAGAATTCTTGCTTGCTACATACATCCAGTTTTAACATTTGGGTGTGAATCCTGGACAATCGGTAGGCAGGTCAAACAATTTTTAGAGGCCTCAGAGATGTGGTTTTACAGAAGAATGCTTAGAATACCTTGGACAGCCAAAAAAGAGCAACCAAGAGGTTTTGAAAGAGGTGGGAGCCCGAAGACAACTTATCACAGACATCAGAAGGAGACAGTCATCATTTTTCGGCCATGTTATGAGAAGAGGGAAAATAGAACATGTTGTGACCACTGGAAAGATCTGTGGAAAAAGGGATAGAGGAAGACAACGAGAGAAGATGCTTGACAGTCTTGTTGCATGGCATGGAGGTGTGTCGGCACCCGAACTGATACATGCTGCAGGAGATCGCGGATTAGGGAGAGGCATGATCTCCCACGCCAGTCGGCAAGGCACCTGATGATGATGATCCGTTTTATAGATCTATCTTTTTATCTGCAGATTGCTGGCTCCTTGCATCTCAGGTAGATGTGCTGACACTTAGATACACCCATAATTAGTCGACTTTCATCTCATGCTTGTTGGGGACAGTGGGCCCATTTTTTTCTGCCCCTTATGAAGTCCCAGAACCCCATGCAATGATTCTATCCTCTCCTCTCGACTTAAACAGTTTCCGGACCTCAGAGGACACAAAATTAGGAGTAGTAATTTTTAACAACCAAAATCCTGTTCAAAACTTGGGGTTATAAACTATTATCCTGTTTGTGTATTTATGGCCAGGTGCAATAAATCCAATACAGCTTTAGGCCAAATGGCATCAAATTTGAAATGCAAGCATGAGAATATGAACACTAAATGAACACTGTTCAACACAATATTCTTACCAACGCTATGTAATCAGTATGGAACATGGATATTGTCTTCAGAAGACAGAAGGGAAAAATTCCGACAGAAATGAAATGTTTACGTACTATGCTAGGTGTCACGAGGACAGATCGAGTTAGGAACGAAGATATCAGGAGGAGAGTCGGCACAGAACCAGTTTTGTACTTTATAGCTAGACAACAAGTTATGTTATCACAACTGACGTCCCTACACATTGGGCATTCCCATGCGTGCTCAGTTCTCCAATGCAGCAGCCACTCCAAAGTACTTCTACTAATTGTTCCCATGAGAAGCTGGTTATATTGTCTCCTATCTCGGCACCGAAGACGGCATAGGCGTACTTCATGATGATTTACTCCCATGTCACGCAATCGTGTTAGTGTCAGGGATTCCTCATTATCCACTAGCCCAGTCAGTACCGCGTTGATTCCCTTCAGCTATGTCGGTCGGATGCAGTGATTCCTGCTGTTTTAGACACCGAGACAGGGGCACTGATAGATCAACATTACTGCCCAAAAGGCATCATCATCTATCGACACAAATAGATAGGTCAAACGTGGGTCAAGGTCAGCAGAGGCGTACAGGGCCAAAGGATGGGAAAAGCAATACAAGAGAATAACTGCGCCTATGATGCATCTACTTCAAGCATGACAACGAAAATCACCAGCGCCCTCAGAGCGCTCGCACGGGCAGCAGAACAAGCAACCACGTGTAGATGTCAGGTTAGTTCGACGTTAGTCTCCTCAGACCCCGCCCATATACATACTAGCTTCTGATCGGTAGTTTCTGAGCCCCATGGCCGTCGCAAACGGTTACGGGAGTGTTCCGCAATGCGATGATATCGCATGTTGTATATTTCAGCACGCCCGCGCTTTTAACACTCTAAAAACTTAGAGAAACTGGGTCTAACACAACTTCCCAGAGAGCGCTACAACCTATGTCACAAGCATTCTCTTTCTTGGAATGAAAACATAAATGCAAGACATCGCAGAAAAAAAAAACAGGGCGGGACACACCCTTAACCTTCAAGAAAGTCGACTAGCCCAACAAACTTGTTAATAAAAAGGGACCTACTCTATTTGGGTAGACTAACATTGAATTAACTTAGTTTATCAGTCTAAAAAACAGGCTTTGAAAAATCGACAGAGGCAGACTCCCTCTGAATAGGTAAACATCGTTAGAAAATGGAACTTGACCTCTCTTACCCGGATCTACACACCTTAGATATGTCAGAGTAAGGGGTCATGAAAAAGCGGACAAACTGGCAAGTAACGCACCATTACATGTTGGCTGAAGTAAGGATAAAGCTTTTTTCTTGGACCTGAGCGTGTGCATCAGTTTTACAGATCTTGCGTGTGTGTGTGTGTGTTTTTTTTAATTATTATTATAATTTTAAACTACTACGCGTTTGAGTATGCGTGCTGAATTTTAGTAATACTGTGAGATGGTATTTTGGCTACGGGACACCAGTAGCACGCATATATCTTCTTGTAGGGAGTCGGCAGTCCGAAACCCAAGCTCAAGGTGTCTCCTTCGTGCCAAAGAACTGCATGGCTGTTGGGCGAACAGTCGTTAACGAAGGCAGTCAGGTCGTTGATGGGGCGACGCTTGCTGGTGGATGTAATGTCCTAAATCCCTTCCCCAGCTAATAGTAGGATACTGCTGGGGTGACAGTTTATTAACCCTCACATAATGCTTCAGATCCAAATGGACACTAGGCACTGCCACTGTTTTGAGCCGAAGCATACATTTTTGCTTCTGCCAGACTGTGGCCGTTGCTTGTTTGCTCCATTTGTAGACAGGAAGTGTATAGTTTCGTTGCCCAGCTTCTGAGTTGAGTGTATGGCGTGACACAGTGAGCTGCGGATTTCATTTGGAAGATTTTTTTTGACTGACCAACATGGTGGTGTTATTTTTAGATTCAGAAAATGGCGCGATGCCGGTTGTCGCAATATTGGTGGAGCCATTATTTGATTAAAATTGATCGCGTGTGCAACTGCTGATCTTTTGGTAACTTCTGCAACCATCAATGATGAACTGCATTTCTAATGTCGGACAGTTTGTGTTAGCACTTCGGATGGCTACCATATGCTTTTAATGCGAGTGTATGCTAGATTTGCTGAGACAGCAATTTGTTAGTCTTTCCACAAGGGACTGTGATAAACATTCTGTGTGTTTTTCGTTGGCACAGGAGCGGAGCAACTATGGGGTGACCCGTTTGCTATGAAGCTGAAACTAAAATTAATAGATTACCGGAAGGATGCAGCTGATATCATCAGTGATGTAAGGACTCAACTGGCGGTGAACGATGACCAGTCTCAGCCGCTAATCATGGGAACAAAATGTCATGGACCGGGTTGTATGGAGGGGACACATCAGGAAGGGATGGAAAATATCTTGTGGTTTGTTTTCACAGTCTGTAAACTCTGGCGGAAAGACCTGGTTGTTCGTCCATTTCTGGACTTCGGTTTTTTACCTTGGACCTGAGCTTTGCGTGTGCATCCGTTTTACAGATCTTGCTTATTTGTATGCAGACTGTTGGTTTCTTGCCATAAGGCAGATGCATTCTAGAAGGAAGCTCCCAGTTAGTCGCCTTTTACGACATACTTGTTGGGGAGGCAAATGAGTTATTCTTGTTTTCACACACAACGGGACCCCGGAACCCACAAGGGGAATATCGAGAATGCAGGAGGAAATTATTGCAGAAAGGAAGAGAGCTGAACGTCTGAGAAGAAACAGAATATTTTTTTCAAAGAGAGCGGGCCTGTAGGATGTGTTGGCCGAAAGGTGCGCAGAGCGCAGCCTTGCTGTAAACCGACAGAAAGCAATTACATCTTCGGATAAACGCAGAAGAAGAAGAAGAAGAAGAAGAAGAAGAAGAAGAAGAAGAAGAAGAAGAAGAAGAAGAAGAAGAAGAAGAAGAAGAAGAAGAAGAAATGGAGACTGATGATGATGAATGCCGAAGACGAAGATCATATTCCAATTTTAAAAGTCGAGAGGATCGACTTCATTGCACCGGGTTTTATTCCATATGGCTCAGTCTCTCTCCACAGAACGGCTAGCCACCTGCCGAGAGCCGCGTAGAGTATGAACTTTTTAGCTCATGCGACGATTCGCAGGGACCTTTAAAAACTGTCCTCGTGAACTAAAGGGCACAGATGTGGAGCAAACCCACGACCTTTAGAGCGCAAGGCAAACGGTTTGACCACTTCGCTACGGAGAACCCATCCCATTTTAAATTACGGCCAACCTGGCATATTTCACCAAGCAGTTATACGTATATAAAAAACTGGCGTGTTACAAGTTAAATAAAATTACATTTAAATGAATAATATCAACGAAATATAGTTTACTAACCAAAAGTTTAGCAAACAACGTTAATAAATTTAATCACAATAATCAGCTCATTCACCTCCGTCCTCACAGCCTCCTTTTGGTCCAGACATCGCATCCGTAAACTAAAGCAGGTTTCTCCTGAAAATGGTGGGTCTGTTTCACTGCTTCTTTCTCCTTCCTCTCCTTCTCGTTCACCGGACTCCGGTGGAAAGTTCTGGTTGTTCGTCCATTTCTGGACTTTAGTCTTGTTCTAAAACTTGAGTTTTGCATGCACACCAGTTTTAGAGATCTGGCTTATTTGTATGCAGATTGTTGGCCCCTCGACTCTCAGGCAGATATGTTGTACCTTGATAAAATAACTTATTCAGTCGCCGTCTAAGACATGCTTGTGAAGGGTGGGGTGGGGGGGGGGCAGTAGGTCTATACTAATACCCCACCCCTCAAATGGGGTCCTACAACCCACACGAAGATGTGTATTTGTTGTGGGGAGAATGATTACAGTTTACACCATGATTGGATGATTCTTCCTGTTGTGGATAGTTGATCAGATCTTCTTCGTCTACTTCTTCACTTTTTTCACTTCTACTTTTTCATAATCTTTTTGTTCTTCTATTCCTTATGTTTCTCTGGTATTCTTCTACTCTTTCTCTTGTACTCTTTCTACTACACCATTCCCGTTTTTTCCTCCTCCCCTTTCTATTGCACTTTTTTTTTTACCTTTGTCTTGTGTTTTACTCTTTCTCCTCCTCATTTTACTGCTTCTCCTCTTCTGTTTTTGTTCATTCTTTAGTTTTCCTTGGGTTTGTCATTATTGTCGGGTGTTGCTACTATTTACATTGTGTGTGTTTACCTCAGAGCTACAATATCAGTCTGTTTCCCATGATACATCTAACTTCCCCACAGAATTTGTTTGTTAGGTTTGACTTTTTGAGTCAGACTGGACTTCAGAAAATTACAGACAGGCAAAAACTAGGTACACAAGTTAGCTGGCTTGGAGTAGACCATGAAGGGGACACAGTGGAGAGACAGTATCCAGGCAGAACTAGAAACACTTGGAGTTGCTAATTGAAAACAGAAGGCCAGTCACAGAAAGAAATGCAGGCAGTTGATATCTGCAGCATAGAACCTCAAGAGATTAGAATACTCAGAAGAAGAAGGAGAATATTTACACAAGAACAATCTTCTTCTATACGTTCACCTGCTGTAAACTCCAGCTCAAATTCTGGTTGTTCATCCACTTCTGGATTCAGTTTTATTCCAGAATTTAAGTTTTCTGAGTACATCCATTTGGAAGATCTGGGTTATTTGTATGCAGACTATTGGTTCCTTCCATTTCAGACAGATGCACTCCAACTTGAAAAAAAAAAATGCTTGTTAGGGGATAGCGGGTACAGTCTTTTCCCTCCCTCATCCCCCCCCCACCCACCAGTGGATCCCTAGAACCCACACAGAGAATCCTACCTGATGTTCATTGCTCATTGTTCAACTTTGAGATCATATTCATCTCACATCTGACATGGCCACAAGTGTTCCGATCTTCTCCTGAGTATGTCCCTAAGTGTATTGAGCCGAACAACTCCTATTCTGAACCCCAGATGACGTGTCTTGGCCTAGAAGACTTGACATCTCAGCGACTGTATCTGCTAGGGGACTACTTTTACCGTTTCATGTTTCAATCCTCAGGCGGAACTGGGTATCAATGAGCATCACCAGTTGCAAGTATTTAACTACATTCGTTTCGCGAGATATCAGAGAGGTCAACGGTTGCGTGCTGTTGAAGCCTGCTTTGAGGAGCTTAAAGATAGCAGGTAGTTTTTTGTTTATTAAATGTTCAACTCAAGAGAAAGGCGAGGAGGATATACTGTCAGACTGGTGCCATTTAAACTGGAACTCTGCATCTGCTGCTGAAGATGGGGTTGGGGCCATTATGGGAATGTCCTGAGTGCTATGTTGTTGATTCCAAATTCAACATTCAGTATTTAATGTATTAAATGTTCATATTGGTTTTTTCTTCTGTTATCTTTTTTCTTCTTCTTTCTCCTTCTTCTTCTTATCCTCCTCTTATTTCTCCTCCTCCTCCTGTTTCTTCTTCTTCTTCTTCTTATGCTTCTTCTTCTTCCTCCTAATGTTCGCCAGCTGTCAACTCTGGCAGAAAGTTCTGGTTATTCATCAATTGTCTGGACTTTGGCCTTGCTCCAGAACTAGAGTTTGGTGTGCACATCTGTTTTACAGATCTGACTTATTTGTGTTCAGACTGTTGGTTTGTCACCTCTCGGACAATGCAGTCTGACTTTGAAAGACACACTATAATTAGTCGCTGCATATGATATACTTGTTGGGTGGGCAGCAGTTCTATTCTTTGTTGCCTCAGAATGAAGCCCTGGTATCCACATGGCAAAATCATTCTATCAAGAATTGACATCTTGCACTTGGGGCCAGTCCCACGCTTGCTCATTCCCCTTCCCCGGTAGCCAAAAAGCCATCATTTTTATAGTGTTTTTGACAACTCACAGTTTACACTTTTGTGTTTAGATATTAAACAACAACAAATACTTACTCTGCACATTCATAGTTATAAGCAAAAGGGGCAGGCTTGCAACATGTACTCAAATGTTTGTGGTTCCGTCTGACGTTCACTTCTCATAAAACAATTTTCTTTTCTTTTAACAAAAGACGTACAAACAATGTTTTTGCATTTGTCGCGGACAAGCTGGATGGACTACCAAATATATTCTTTACTTTTTTAGAAAAGATGTACACTTCTTAACCCATTCGCCTCGAGAACGGAAAAAAAGTGACTTTTCGGTTTGGGTCCAATATCCCCATAAATGCCACTTTTCCAACATGATCTGTTGATGAGATGCATGGTTAATGCAGTTGGCTGAGTTCATGCCTACACAAACTTACAGGAGGTCAAGATATTTATAAATTACCTTCCCGTAATGGTCCTGGGGCCCCATTGTGGGGAAAACAAGAATAGACCCACTGCCTACCCAAATGATGTAAGAGTCGACTATTTGGGAGCTTTTTTTGAAGTCAGAATGCATCTGCCTGAGAGGCAAGGAACCAACAATCTGCATTCAAGTGAATCAGATCTGTAAAACTGATGCACACACAACACTCGGGTTCTGGAGCAGAACTGCAGTCCAGGAGTGGACGAACAACAAGAACTTTCGGCCAGAGTGTACAGCTGTTGAATGCGAAGAAGAAGAAGAAGATGAATTACCTAACGGAAGCGTTTAGAGGTGTTTTCCTTTGTGCTATAAATTTTTAAATAATAAAAAAATTATTTTAAAATGTCAATAAAAATATTTTAAACAAATTTATTAGTAACATGTGTAAAAATAGTTTTTGTTTTAACATTTTGTTTTGTAAATTTAGGAATCCTAACAAGGTTGTGACCTATTTTTGTTAGAGTGTTCGGGGCGAAGGGGTTAGAAAGCAAATTTTATTTTATTTTCACACAAAAACTTACAGATGACACGTTTTCACATTTGATGAAGTCACAGACATGATGGACGAACTACCAGAAGTATTGTTTACTTTTTTACAAAAGATTTACACGTCTTATAAAACAATGTCAAATTTCATTTTCTGTTTTAAAAAAGACTTACAGATGATACCTTCACTATCGACGAAGTCACAGACATGCTGGACGGACTGCTGGCCGTGGTCAGGTCCGAGGTAGAGAATGAACTCATCAACACAGCTCACACAAACGTTCTCATGACTCGTCAGATGTGCCAGCAGGCAGAGAAGTGGCATCTCAAACTGTCAACAGATATATCGGAACTGGAGAATAGGTAATGTGGATTCTTGGGCCCCTTTGTGGAGAAAAAAAAGAGTAGAAATAACTGCCGCCACAGCAAGTATGTCGTAAAGCCTGACTCATTGAGAGTGGTTTTTTTTTCTATGTCAGAATTCATCTGCCCGAGAGGCAAGGAACAACATTCTGCATTCAAATGGCTGTAAAACAGATGTGCATGCAATACTCAAGTTCTGAAAAAGACTGCAGTCCAGTAGTGAACAAACAACCAGAAATTTCTGCCGGAATTTATAGCCGGTGAACAGGAAGAAGAATATATCAGGTTATCCAGCACACATAAAAATGTGATCAGTACTGCCGTCAGTATAGAACTTACCAAGACCAGATAGCCATTTAGTTAGTTGCGTATCCCTTATTGTGTATCTTTAATTGTGTATCCTTAGTTGTGTATCCTTAGTTGTGTATCTTTAATAGTGTGTCCCTAGTTGTGTATCTTTACTTGCATATGTTTAATTGTGTATCCTTAGTTGTGTATCCTTAGTTGTGTATCCTTAGTTGTGTATCCTTAGTTGTGTATCTTTAGTTGTGTATCTTTAATTGTGTATCTTTAATTGTGTATCCTTAGTTGTGTATCTTTACTTGCATATGTTTAATTTTGTTTCCTTAGTTGCATGTCCTTAATTGTGTATCCTTAGTTTTGTATCCTTAGTTGTCCCCATGTGGGTTCTGGGGCCCCATAGACCCACTGCCTCCTGAACAAGCATGTCATTAGTGTAGACTAATTGGGAGCTTCCTTCGAAGTCGGAGTGCATCTGCCTGAGTGGCAAGGATCAACTGACTGCACACAAAAAAGCCAGTAAAATGGATGTACACACAAAACACATCCTGGCACAAAGTCAAAGTCCAAATGGACGAACAACCAGGACTTTCTGCTAGAGCCTCCACCTCCGCTGTCATCAGAGGCCCTACATATAACCTACGGGTTGAAGGCAGTTTCTAGGACTTGCTTGCAGGTGATTCTCATCCGAATAGAGCATCTTGTGTCACTGGGTGTTTACTGCCCATCCTGCAGTCTTGGTAGGGTTGAACAGCTAACAGCCAGTGAACAAAGAGAAAAAGGAAGATAGTAAATGTTTGAAAGTCTGAAGAAGTTCAGGCCAGCATAAAAAGAGAGAAGTAGAGATAGATGAAGAAGGAAGGATTCAGAGTGAGAAAAAATGGAGAGACAGGCTAAGAGTGATTGTGCAGGTTACATCAAATTTGAGTTTCAAATATTTTAAAACCTGCATTCTTTTCAGGGAATTATTGGAGCAAATACGAGAAATTGAGGAGAGAGAGTTTTCCGGATCAAGAAAGGAAAAGGAGTTTGTGCCCAGTAAACTGATGCCAATTAATGATACAGGACTAACACAGCTGCTCAACAGGGTTAGTATCCTTGTCTTGTAGAAGTAAGGTCAAGGACCCATTGCTACGCCTTCAGACGTACACTGCCTATATAGAGCCTGACCTATATTGCATAAACTAATTGGCACTTGGTTGATGGTGGGGTCAGCGTCACGTTGGCCGCCTTAACTGCACAAGACTTTGTCTGGTAAAGCTGGGTTAAGATGGCGGAGAAGGTTGTTTAAACAAAGTAGTCTGGCTCATTTCAGGTTTGAACCCACAACCTTTGGATCTGCAGGCGAGCATCTTTGTCTCGTGTGTTCTGCATTTTCATGCCCAAGATGTCTTTAAGTCATGTAGTACAAGTCAGGTCTCCATGCCACGGTGGCATAGTGGCCAGACTCTCGCAACCAACCTGAAGGGCAAAGGTTTAGATTCGCATCCTGGTGGATTTCGTTTAAAAACTGACTTGGCTGCCAGGTTGACCCAGCCTTCTTCTTCATCTGTCTTCATCCGAATATGTAATTGTGTTGTGCCTGTTTACAGCATTGCTGCAACATTTGCACCTTTTGGCCAACACATCTGACTCTGCGGCCATTTGTTGACCGGGTTAGCCTTCCCGGTTAGTTTCATGGAATGTTGCAGTCTCACTGTTGTATGGTCATCTTTGTGTCACAGGTGGTGTTCACATCACGCTGGTCCAGAGAAGCCACGTAATATTGATCAGCCCTCAGAAGAAGGCAGGGGCAGAACATGAGCATTCCCTGCCTTTTAAGGAGGCTTCTATAAATGCAAAGCCAATATATGCTGCATTGGTACTGGACTCACCCAAGGAATCAACACATCCTGCTCATGTTTGTTTAACCCCCACTTCCATATATTGAACATCTAAGTCATCCCAGGCTAAGCCTTTCGAAGCCTTGCAGTAACCCACCCTAAAATGGTACTGGGTTATGTCATGGGAAGTAAAGGCAGTTGTGGCTTGTTGACCATATCACCAGTTCAGTGCCAGTTGGCCTAGAAATATCGATCTAGCACCTTATGTTTGATGCACCTAAGGCTTGGAAATGACCCTCACTGTTACTGTAACTTATATGGTATGCTTGCCCAAACAGTTGGCTCCCTTACGTGGTTGTTGAAATAGTTCTTGCTGCCAAAATGTTAATTCAACTCTTTTTGTGATATGGTCAACAAGCCACAACTGCCTTTACTTCCCATGAAGACAAAGATAGCAGATGAAGAAGAAACAGCTCATGAGGCCGGCTGATAGATTAGCTGTTGCCACTCCTCTGGGCAGTGAGCTACTTTATGAGGAAGCGGGTGTGGTGAAGGCTGTATGAGATCAAATGGACAGTGCACAAAAACAACACCGGGGTGTGAAGAGGTTCTTGAAGATACTCAAGATTGAAGGGGATATAGAGGTAGACTTTTTATGTGGTTGCAACTGGTACTCTTAGCATATCAACTCTTTACTGGTTACTGAAGAAGGAGACGGAGCATGTGTGGGAAGGTCCTGAGTGCAGTGATGTCAATTCTTGATTCATTTCATTCATTCATCCTTGCATGTGTTCTGGTGCCGCCCTATTGAAGGAAGGTGGGGGGAATCAACCCACCCCCCTCTCCTCCCACCAACAAGCGTGTCGTAAAATTCAACTAATTAAGGGTGTTTCCTATGAAATCAGAATGCATCTGCCCGAGAGGTGAGGAACCAACAGTCTGCATTCTAATAAGCCAAATCTGTAAAACAAATGTGTGTGCAAAACTCAAGTTCTGGAACAAGACTAAAATCCAGATTAGGACAAAAAACCAGAACTTTGCACCGGAGTTTACAGCTGGTGAACATGAAAAAAGAAGAGGAAGAAGAAGAAGAAGCTTGTTTGCTTTTACCAGTGATCTGATTTTTAGCAGTTTGCCATTACTTGCTGACCCGTCGGCTTTCCACATCATTGTTGAAATTGACACAAAGGGGTCTGCTGTCAAGTCACCCGTAGCTGAATGAATTGAGAGGAAAAGCGGACAAGAGAAATTATCAAACAGGCAATGAAATGAGAAACAGATGACTGAGGAAAAAAGAAAGACCTAGAGAAATTATAAGGTAGATGTTGAAGAGAGAGGTCATAGATGCTGGACTAGAGATTTCATCCATGATACCAAAAATATTGTACAGGTGTGGTTTTACTTACTAGCCATTGTTATTTTCAGTAGTTTGCCATTGCTTCCTGAACAGTCAGCTTTCCATATGTGTGTCGAAATGAACACAAAGTGGTCTGCTGGCTCTTCTTCTCCTTAGCTTTTCACTGGGTTTAAACTCCGGCAACAAATTCTGATTGTTCATCCACTCGTGGATTTTGGCCTTGTTCCAGAACTTGAGTTTGTATTGTATGCACATATGTTTTACAGATCTGGCTTTTTTATATGCAGACTGTTAGATCCGTGCCTCTCGGGCAGATGCACTCCCACTTCGAAGGAGACACCATGAATAAATCACCTTTTACGACATACTTATTAGAACTGAGTCGATCTATTATTGTTTTCCCCAAGAATGGGGTCCCGGAACCCACACAAAGAGGACTGCTACTAAATCACTTTTGGGTGAATTGAACCAGATATTTCAGAATTACAAACCCATTCCTAACACCTAAGCTGTTACCTCAGCCACAGACACTGATACATCAATGAAACAATTGTAATTGATAATCTAGGCTTGTAGATACATGGTCATTACGCATTTTACCCAGTTTACTTTTCCTCCCCAGAAAATCAGCGAGCTTCAGTCAGAAAATGAAATGTTGCTTCAACGGCTCTCAAAGTATGATAAAGACGTAAGTGACCATTATGTTAAATCTGGTCAGTTTTGGTTGTGGCACAGCCCATTAAATGCGGATATATCATGCATATATGACTGCATTCCAGCCAGCACCGCCATGACTGCATTCCAGCCAGCACCGCCATGACTGCATTCCAGCCAGCACAGACATGACTGCATTCCAGCCAGCACAGACATGACTGCATTCCAGCCAACACAGACATGACTGCATTCCAGGCAGCACCGACACGACTGTATTCCAGGCAGCACCGACACGACTGTATTCCAGGCTATACATTGGGCACATCTCCCCATGTGGGTTCCGAGGCCACTTTGTGGGGAAAACAAGAACAAGCCCACTGCCTCCCCAACAAACATGTCGTAAGAGTCTGCTAACTGGGTGGTACCTTCAGAGTCAGAATGCATCTGCCTTAGAGGCAAGGAACCAACTGTCTGCATTTAAATAAGTCAGATCTGTAAAAATGATGTGTAGGTAACCACTCAGGTCCTAGAAGAACACTATGCCTAGAGGTGGTCGAACAGTTATAACTTTCTGTTAGAGTTTTCAGCTGGTGAATGGAAGAAGTAGAAGAAGATTTTATCTTTTCGGTTATAGTTTTTAATTCTTTAGAAATTGTGGATAAGGATGTTATGTAATTTTATTGCTATATTGTTTCAGTTTACCACTAACTATCAGCAGACGAAGAGTTTGACAGCAGATCTTGAGCATATGCAGGCAGAGCTGAGAGCAAAGGGAACAAGGGTTGGTTCATCTTTTTATTGTCGAAATTTATCTTTATTAACATCATCTTTATTTTCATCATCTATATTCCCCCGTGTGGGTTCCGGGGCCCCATTGTGGGGAAAACAAGAATAGACCCACTGCCTCCCCAAAAGCATGTCGTAAGAGTCAACTAATTGGGGAGCTTCCTTTGAAGTTGGAGTGCATCTGCCGGAGAGGCAAGGAACCAACAGTCTGTATTCAAGAGAATGAGATCTGTAAAACTGATACACACGCAACACTCAGGTTCTGGAGCAGGACTGCAGTTCAGTAGTGGACTTGCAACCAGAACCTTCCGCCAGAGTTTACAGCTGGTGAACGCAAAGGAGAAGAAGAAGATCATCTATATTGTCATCAGCAACTGTTTTATTATCGTCCTCATCATGATACATTATCATCATCATAATCTTTATTATCATCATTAACTTTTTTTTTATTACCTTGATCATCATTTTTATAACAATAAAATCATTATTTGTCATCATCATTATCATCGTCTTCTTTGTTTTCCTCATTATTATCATCTTTAAAAAAAAAATTTTATCATCATCATTATCATCTGTATTATTATCATTATCTTCTTTATTTCATTATTGATTTGTATTATCCTCATCATTAACATCATTTTTATATTATTAACATCATTATCTTTTTCTGCTTCTTCTTTATCTTCTTCTTCTTCTCTAGTCAGGGATTGCCTTTCAGTGTCAGGTTTTGAAGAGGCATCCGGTGAGAAACTTGGTGTGTGCTACTTGATGCTGGTATTTCCGGCCTCGGATATTCTGTCAATCCATCACTTGCTTGGTCTACCTCTGGTACTGCCTCCATTTTGTCTAAGTAACAGAGCTCTCTTTGGGGCATTATCTGGTGGTAGTCTTGACATATGTCAAAACCATATAATCGGCTGTCTCTTGATGTTGTTTAATACTCATTCCATCCCAACTTATTTCCTGATCTCGTCATTTCTGAACCTGTCTTTTCTTGTTACATTTAGAATTAATTTCTCTTGTTGACCTATATTATCCTCATCGAATTTTTAATTTTTATTGCTGTCAATTTAATTCTCGGTATCGCTGTTAGAATGACCTTGGCTCCCAGGCCGACCCAGCCTTGAGTGGGTACCGGGTGCAGTGTCGTGAAGTAGAGGCGGCCGGGGTGATGCTGATCACATCATTCCCCCCCCCCCCTTCCTTGTGCAGATTGGTCTAAAAAAATATAGGTCTAGCCATATATGCCTAAAGGCGTGGAAAAGGGTCCTTTACTTTTTCACTTTTTATTGCTATTAGAAGCATCAACATAATTATTATTAGCAATAATATAAAGGCTACACCAGATACACCTGAGAACACGATATTCTCTAAGTACCCAATTTACCTGCAGGGTTCAAGTTCACACCGCTCTACCCTGCTACAACAGTTCCATCTGTGGCCACCTAGAAATGAACGTAGAGACACAGCACTTGATTTGCTATTCTCAGGCCTTGATCGATGCACGCAAAAACTGTATGGCTGACAACAAGCACGTTTGGATATCGAAACAGAAGACTCAATGAACGCTATACTTTTGCTGTAATTAGTTACGCGGTGATCTCTCTCACTCTCTCTCTCTATCTCTCTCTCTCTCTCTCTCTCTCTCTCTCTCTCTCTCTCTCTCTCTCTCTCTCTCTCTCTCTCTCTCTCTCTCTCTCTCTCTCTCTCCTCATCTCTCTCTTTCTGTCTACGCCGATTTATGCATGTATTGGCTGAGCTGTTAATGGTTATTATTAGTCATCGCTAGTGTATTACTGTTGTTAGAACCTAGAAAATATGAATGCAGCCCCTGGTGGCTTGCAGAATACATTGTTCAAGCAATGTTACCCTACCACAAAGTATGCATCTCTTTCTGAAACTGTCCCTCGGGTGCACCTTTCTACTGCAGTCCTTTATTTCAGCCAACTTTCTGTCACAGCAGGGACTGTGTCTGATCTGACTGAGACATTTGAATTTACTGTCCCCTTCTTGGAGCCAGTCATGCCGACCTTGTGTGCATAGGGAATTCCCTGTGTCAGTGTCTTACATATTTGTGGTCATTCTGCATGATTCTTTCCTTGTCTCACTCTCTCCTTCTCCCGATATATATATATATATGTATATAAATATATATACTTATATAAATATGTAGTCATGTGTGCTGCACCAGCAAGCAAGCGGGTGGCAGGTAATGAGTGTATGTATATGTGTGTGTGTTTTCTTTAACTACTGCACATTTGAGAATGCGTGCTGAATTTTAGTAATACAGTGAGATAGTATTTTGGCTACGGGACACCAGTAGCACACATATATCTTCGTGTAGGGTGTCGGCAGTCCGAAACCCAAGTTCAAGGTGTCTTCTTCGTGCCAAAGAACTGCATGGCTGTTGGGTGAACAGTCGTTAACGAAGGCTGTCAGGTCGTTGTTGGGGCGAGGCTTGCTGGTGGATGTAATGTCCTAAATCCCTTTCCCAGCTAATAGTAGGGTACTGCTGGGGTGACAGTTTATTAACCCTCACATAATGCTTCAGGTCCAAAGGAACACTAGGCACTGCCACTGTTTTGGGGTGCATAGTATTCAGCTTTTATCTTCTTCTTCTTCTTCTTCTTAGCGTTCATTTGTTGGAAACTCTGACAAGCGTGTTTTTTTTTTTAATTGTCATTCTTCTGCTGATGAAGGCCAATCACCACAACATCCTTTATTTTTTGTAAGTAGTTTGGCAAAGCTAACATATACTTTTTTTTCTGACCATTTTCTATCTTTTCTCTTTCTTCCTTATCTTTTGCAATGTTTGTTTTTTTAGGTATTTTTTCTTTCTAGGCTAACTGTTGATGCATGTTTCATGACGAGTTGATTCTCTTGACAGCCTGAAGCAACTTCAGAAGAAGTAGCAGAAATGACCCGACGGATGGCGGAACTACAGTCACAGATTGATCAGGTTTGTCAGGCCTTTTTATGTGACTTTTTTGCCTATGATACTGTTTTGTTGTTGTTGTTTTGGCTCCTCATCCTTACAGAAAAATTGCTTTTCTTCCTTTGATACTTTGCCTGTTCCTTTTTATTAATTTTTTTTTAAAATAGGTCACTAACTCTTTCACTTACTCTCTCCTTCCTTCACACTTCTATCCCTTTCTTCTCCCTCCTCCTCTGTCCTGTTGCCTATCTGCCTGCCTCTCTCTCTGTCTCTCTCTCTCTGTAAATCTGACAAATTCTTCTTCTTTTTAAAGTCCCTGCCATGTGACTTTGGTAGTTATATTTATCCACAACCTTCTGTAATCAGCTCTGATGATCTTCAATGCCCTCGTGTCAGACTGTTCACTATCTTCTCTCTCAGTCTCCCTCTTTGCCTCTTTTCCCCTTCATCTTTCCTACCATCTTTCCTACCATCTTTCCTACCATCATGATGTACTCCAGTTTTCTCTGTCTCATGACCGACAATACTCATTTTAAAATAAATTAAAAATAAAAATTACAAATATGATGCTGCAGTTCAATTTTTGTCATCACCACTGCGAATCAAACTGATTTAATAATTTCACATTTGTTTCTATCTGTTCGACAAGGAGCGCAAGAAAGGCCAGATGTCTGTTCAGGATGCAGAGAAGGAAGTGGCAAATACAAAACATGAATTGCTCAGAATAAGAGAGATGTTAGAATTGGCAGAAAAGGTAATATTTACTTTTGGCATCAAAGTGAGCAAAAATAGAAAGTTAGTCGACAGATTATCCTCACTGCACATCAGATCTTTAAGTCCCAGCTTAATAAATCCGACAGTCATGTATTATTTTCTTGTTCTTCTTTGCCATTAAAACTTTCAGTCTGTGAGTGTTTGGATCCCCATCTTAGTAAATCCCACAGGCGCGTCACCTATGATTAACTGCTTAAACAAATACTACCTGTAATATCTACTACACAAAGACCTTAACTCTCTCTACTATCTAGCCGACAACATTAGCCTATCACAGACACTAAATACGAATATCCTATTTGTACCTAACCGTCACTAACCTAACGTTACCTCGTCGTAAACTGTTGTCCTGTCTCTCTCTGTCGACAAGCACACAACCGTCGTCAACCACTGTCCGCTCACAAATCTCCCAAAAACCGCTTGGACCAAGCCTTTTGTATTTCCCCCCGAGTTCATAGCAAAATCCGCAGCACTCCATGTCGACTGAGTGAACTCGACCTGGCCTCTAAACTGGGCTCGGCTTATTGCGTGAACGAGCTGTACGTTCACACACTGAGTTTGCGCTGGAGGTCAACTGGTACAAGCGTGATGATTCACGATTCTTACTTCATGATTCCGAACTGGCCTCTGACACGCAGTAGCTGACGACACCAGTCATGTGTCATTTTCTTATTCTTCTTTGGCTTCCTGCATGGATCTCTTGTCTGGCCACACCCCTTTTAACTTGCTGTTCTTGCAGTCTGGTTATGGTTGCAGATTCACAGTCATCACTTGGTTCTGGCTTAAGTCTTACTTCTTATAGAGCATGCAGTATATCAGCCTGATCCATGGCTCATCTGCCCTTCACAGTAGCTTTAGCAGCAAGCCGATCAGCTTGTTCATCGTCTTGCACATCGTTGCATATTTGTCAGCCATGACTGCCTCAGAGACTCCAACCGCTGTCTTTGGCCAACCCATCTCTGTCTTACTGTGTATACTCATCAAGCAATAACATGGCTGGAGACACAGAACTTTTCCTGTGCGTGCTTTGACAGTGACTCAATGAATATGTTCATCAGAGTCTGGATTTCTGCCTCTACAGCGGCCGGACTTTACATGTCCTGTCTAGTTGGATGCAAACAAAAAAAGTTGTACAGCACTCTGTTGGATGAATATATTTTTTATGTTAGTGTAAGCACTTCAAAACATTGTTCTTCTGTTTCTTCTTCTTCTTTGTTCACTGGCTGTAAGCTCTGGTGGAAAGTCATGGTTGCTCATCCATTTGGACTGACTTTGTGCCAGGGTCTGAAGTTTGCATATACATCCATTTTTACTGGCTCAGTTGTGTGCAGTTGGTTGTTCCTTGCCGCTCGGACAGATGCACTTTGACTTCAAAGAAAGCCCTCAATTGGTCAACTCCTATGACATGCTTGTTGGGTAGGGAGTTAGTCCATTCTTGTTTTCCCCACAATGGGGCACCGGAACCGACAGGGGAAGAAAACATAGTTTGCTCCAAAAGAAGATAAAACTGTTTACATATGTAATCTATTGACAGATTTTTGAAAAAACTATTTGGAAGCATCGGAGATGTGGTTTTATAGACGAATGATGAGAATAGACAGATAAAGAAAAGTAATGAGGATGTTTTGAAAGAATCTGACTCACCAAGAGAACTGATTGCCCACATCAGGAAGAGACAATCTACATTTTTTGGTTATGTGATGAGGAGAAAACTGGAGTACATCATGACATTAGGAAAGTTGGAGGAGAGGAGAGAAAATGTACTCGATAGTTTGACATCATGGCATCGAGGATCATCTGTACACAAGACAGAAGACTGTGGATAGCCATAACTACCAATGCCACATGGCAAGGACTATGGAAGATCATTTGTGTCAGAGTTGATTGAAAGTACACAAGACAGAAGGTTGTGGACAGACATAACTACCAACGCCACATGGCAAGGACTATGGAAGATCATTTGTGTCAGAGTTGATTGATAGTTAACTAGACAGAAGGTTGTGGAAAGCCATGACTACAAAAGCCACACAGCTAAGGCCTGTGAAAGATATTTGAGTCAGAGTTGATTTAGAGTACACGGGACAGAAGGTTGTAGATAGCCATGACTACCAACGCCACACGGCTGAGATGGAAAGATCATGTTGTTCTTTCACTTCTGGGCTTTGGTCTTGTTCCAAAACCGTTTTAAAGATCTGGCTTATTTACATGCAGACTGTAGAACTCTGATAGGGAGTTTGTGTCTAATTTGTCTTTGGTCTTTCAGTTCATTCAGCTGAATCCTCTAGCCCAGGAACATTTAAAAAAAAATGGGTCATGATCCGCGGAAACCTACCAATCCTTAATAAAACAAACATTTTACACACGTCAGTAATAAATTTGTAAAAGTATTTATCTACACTTAAAAAAAATAATTTAATATGAAGATATAAAAAGGGAGTTATCAAATCATTAAACACTAACAATGTTAAACGTTAAGCAGAATACATTTCCTGGGTTCTAAAGCATGTCGTAAGAGTCGACTAATTGGGGAGCTTCCTTTGAAGTCGGAGTGCATCTGCCGGAGAGGCAAGGAACCAACAGTCTGTATTCAAGAGAATGAGATCTGTAAAACTGATGCACATGCAACACTCAGGTTCTGGAGCAGGACTGGAGTTCAGTAGTGGACGAGCAACCAGAACTTTCCGCCAGAGTTTACAGCTGGTGAACGCGAAGAAAAAGAAGAAGAAGAAGATTTCCTGGGTTCTTAAGAACAATATATATCGGCTGACTCATTTTGTGACCCTGTGACCTCTATCACTGAGGAAAATTTAAGGTCAACTTGACTTTTAAAAAAAAAGCTATTGTATTCAGAGAAAAGCAACCCTATATTGTTTTTAGCAAATGTATTTATATCCTGATCCTAATGTTTACACAGGTGTAAACTCAGCCCTTACCATTAACTATGCTTCTCACAAACACATCTCCGTAAACAACTTAGAAAAGTGACATTTATGGGGAATTAGACCCAACCAGAAGTGTTGTCATTATAACTTCTCGGGGCAACAGGATTAAGCAAACTTCTAAATGCATCATGATCAATTTTTTTTTTTAAATAGATCAGGAAAATACCAAGAAAATTACATTTTAAAATGTCTGTTTATTAAATGCAGGAGCTTGAGAAGAAGGTCAGTCAGACAGCTCCTTTCAAGAATCTCAAACAGATGTTGCAGCGGAAGAATGACCAAATGAAAGATCTTCGCAAGCGTCTTTCAAAGTGAGTGTTCCTTGTGTCAGACTTTAGAGGGGAAAATGTCATCGTCATTATCATTATCATTGTTCATCTCCATCAGCTTCGTAATTATCTTTATCATGTCATCATTGTCATCACTTTGTCACCATCGTCGTCAACTTCATCATCATTTTCATCATCATCATCATCAAATTTCTTGCTGACTGGCAAGAATGGCAACATTTTTCTCTAGGTCTCGCAATCTCCAGCATTTATTGGTTCAAATACTGACCCCTTGTCCATGACCTGACAGGAAGCTGAGAAGATTCATTTATTGTTTTCTTCCTCTAACTCTTTTTCCATATGCCTTTCCAGTGGCTGCAACATGTTTCATTTTTTCCCTTACTAAAAAAAAGGACTCTTTACCACGCCTTTAGTTCTAGACCTATATTTTTATAGACCAATCGGCACAAGATGGGTAATGTGGTCAGCATCACGCTGCCCTTATATTATGGTCACACAAAAAAACCATAATGGGTCTGCCTTATGTTGATGATTAGATGTATTTGTTTCTGAGCCTCCTTGTGTGTGTTCAGGGGCCTCATTTTTTAGGTGCATACAAGTAATCTGGATCTGCCTCAGAGGCGAGGAACAGTGTGTACAAGTAATCTGGATCTGCCTCAGAGGCGAGGAACAGTGTGTACAAGTATTTTCGGATCTGCCTCAGAGGCGAGGAACAGTGTGTGCAAGTAATCTGGATCTGCCTCATAGGCGAGGAACAGTGTGTGAACAAGTAATCTGGATCTGCCTCAGAGGCGAGGAACAGTGTGTACAAGTAATCTTGATATGCCTCAGAGGCAAGGAACAGTACATACAAGTAATCTGGATCTGCCTCAGAGGTGAGGAACAGTACATACAAGTAATCTGGATCTGCCTCAGAGGCGAGGAACAGTGCATCCAAGTAATCTGGATCTGCCTTAGAGGCGAGGAACAGTACATACAAGTAATCTGGATCTGCCTCAGAGGCGAGGAACAGTACATACAAGTAATCTGGATCTGCCTCAGAGGCGAGGAATAGTACATACAAGTAATCTGGATCTGCCTCAGAGGTGAGGAACAGTACATACAAGTAATCCGGATCTGCCTCAGAGGCAAGGAACAGTGCGTCCAAGTAATCCGGATCTGCCTCAGAGGCGAGGAACAGTTCGTACAAGTAATCCGGATCTGCCTCAGAGGTGAGGAACAGTGCGTACAAGTAATCCGGATCTGCCTCAGAGGTGAGGAACAGTGCGTCCAAGTAATCTGGATCTGCCTCAGAGGCAAGGAACAGTGTGTACAAGTAATCTGGATCTGCCTCAGAGGCAAGGAACAGTGTGTACAAGTAATTTCGGATCTGCCTCAGAGGGGAGGAACAGTTCGTACAAGTAATCCGGATCTGCCTCAGAGGTGAGGAACAGTGCGTCCAAGTAATCTGGATCTGCCTCAGAGGCAAGGAACAGTGTGTACAAGTAATCTGGATCTGCCTCAGAGGCGAGGAACAGTGTGTACAAGTAATCTTGATATGCCTCAGAGGCAAGGAACAGTACATACAAGTAATCTGGATCTGCCTCAGAGGTGAGGAACAGTACATACAAGTAATCTGGATCTGCCTCAGAGGCGAGGAACAGTGCATCCAAGTAATCTGGATCTGCCTTAGAGGCGAGGAACAGTACATACAAGTAATCTGGATCTGCCTCAGAGGCGAGGAACAGTACATACAAGTAATCTGGATCTGCCTCAGAGGCGAGGAATAGTACATACAAGTAATCTGGATCTGCCTCAGAGGTGAGGAACATTACATACAAGTAATCCGGATCTGCCTCAGAGGCAAGGAACAGTGCGTACAAGTAATCCCGATCTGCCTCAGAGGCAAGGAACAGAGCGTCCAAGTAATCCGGATCTGCCTCAGAGGCGAGGAACAGTTCGTACAAGTAATCCGGATCTGCCTCAGAGGTGAGGAACAGTGCGTACAAGTAATCCGGATCTGCCTCAGAGGTGAGGAACAGTGCGTCCAAGTAATCTGGATCTGCCTCAGAGGCAAGGAACAGTGTGTACAAGTAATCTGGATCTGCCTCAGAGGCAAGGAACAGTGTGTACAAGTAATTTCGGATCTGCCTCAGAGGGGAGGAACAGTTCGTACAAGTAATCCGGATCTGCCTCAGAGGTGAGGAACAGTGCGTCCAAGTAATCTGGATCTGCCTCAGAGGCAAGGAACAGTGTGTACAAGTAATCTGGGTCTGCCTCAGAGGCAAGGAACAGTGTGTACAAGTAATTTTGGATCTGCCTCAGAGGGGAGGAACAGTGTGTACAAGTAATTTCGGATCTGCCTTAGAGGCGAGGAACAGTGTGTACAAGTAATCTGGATCTGCCTCAGAGGCAAGGAACAGTGTGTACAAGTAATCTGGATCTGCCTCAGAAGTGAGGAACAGTGTGTACAAGTAATCTGGATCTGCCTCAGAGGCGAGGAACAGTGTGTACAAGTAATCTGAATCTGCCTCAAAGGCGAGGAACAGTGTGTACAAGTAATCTGGATATGCCTCAGAGGCAAGGAAAAGTACATACAAGTAATCTGGATCTGCCTCAGAGGTGAGGAACAGTACATACAAGTAATCTGGATCTGCCTCAGAGGTGAGGAACAGTACATACAAGTAATCTGGATCTGCCTCAGAGGTGAGGAACAGTACATACAAGTAATCTGGATCTGCCTCAGAGGTGAGGAACAGTACATACAAGTAATCTGGATCTGCCTCAGAGGTGAGGAACAGTACATACAAGTAATCTGGATCTGCCTCAGAGGTGAGGAACAGTACATACAAGTAATCTGGATCTGCCTCAGAGGTGAGGAACAGTACATACAAGTAATCTGGATCTGCCTCAGAGGTGAGGAACAGTACATACAAGTAATCTGGATCTGCCTCAGAGGCGAGGAACAGTGCATCCAAGTAATCTGGATCTGCCTTAGAGGTGAGGAACAGTACATACAAGTAATCTGGATCTGCCTCAGAGGCGAGGAACAGTACATACAAGTAATCTGGATCTGCCTCAGAGGCGAGGAACAGTACATACAAGTAATCTGGATCTGCCTCATAGACGAGGAACAGTGCGTACATGTAATCTGGATCTGCCTCAGAGGCGAGGAACAGTGCATACAAGTAATCTGGATCTGCCTCAGAGGCGAGGAAAAGTGCGTACAAGTAACCCAGATCTGCCTCAGAGGCAAGGAACAGTGCATACAAGTAATCTGGATCTGCCTCAGAGGCAAAGAACAGTGCGTCCAAGTAATCCGGATCTGCCTCAGAGGCGAGGAACAGTTCGTACGAGTAATCTGGATCTGCCTCAGAGGTGAGGAACAGTGCGTCCAAGTAATCTGGATCTGCCTCAGAGGTAAGGAACAGTGCGTCCAAGTAATCTGGATCTGCCTCAGAGGTGAGGAACAGTGTGTCCAAGTAATCCGGATCTGCCTCAGAGGTGAGGAACAGTGCATACAAGTAACCTGGATCTGCCTCAGAGGTGAGGAACAGTGCTTCCAAGTAATCCGGATCTGCCTCAGAGGTGAGGAACAGTGTGTACAAGTAATCCGGATCTGCCTCAGAGGCGAGGAACAGTGTGTCCAAGTAATCCAGATCTGCCTCAGAGGTGAGGAACAGTGCATACAAGTAATCTGGATCTGCCTCAGAGGTGAGGAACAGTGCGTCCAAGTAATCCGGATCTGCCTCAGAGGTGAGGAACAGTGTGTACAAGTAATCCGGATCTGCCTCAGAGGCGAGGAACAGTGCATACAAGGAATCCAGATCTGCCTCAGAGGCGAGGAACAGTGCGTACAAGTAATCTGTAAAATTGATGTGCACAAAAGCATTGAACAAGACTTAAAGTCCAGATGTGGGTAAATAACCAGAACTTTCTCTTGGAGTGTACAGCCTGTGAATATTAAGAAGCTGAAGAAGTATCTTAGCCTTTGTCAAAACAATTTGATTATTTGCTTCGGCATTCTTCTGTACAACCATATCTCTCAGTGGGGAAAAAGAGGGGGGGGGGGGGGGGGGGGTTGATTACTGTTTGTTTCCTAATTCTTCTTTTTCTTTTCCTCCTCCTCCTTCTGCTTCTTCTTCATGTTTCTTCTCTTTCATCTTCTTCTTTTTTGTCCTCCTTCTTCTCCTTCATCTTCCTCTTCTTTTTTTTTCTTCTTCTTCATCATCTTTTTCGTCTTCTTCTTTTTTTTCTTCTACCTTTTTCCCTTCTTTTTTGCTTTCACTGGCGGAAAGTTCTGGTTGTTTGTCCACTTCTGCTCTTGTTCCAGGACTTGGGTTTTGCATGCATATCCATTTTACAGATCTGGTTTATTTTATGCAGACTTTGAGCCCGGCTCTCTAGCGAAGTTGGTTAAACCTGACTTTCGCGGCGGCCAGGTGACGAACTGCTTGTGGTCCGGGTTCACTCCCGGGGGAAGGCAGAAAAGCCACATTTCTCCCAGATTACCGGTACCTATAATGGAATCAATGCCGAAGGGTTGCGATATCCATAGTACCGAGCCAAAGGGTTTACAACTCATGGTTTCTGGATACGTTTAAAAAAAAAAAAAAAAATGCAGACTTTGAAGTTGGAGTGCACATACCTGAGAGTCAGGAAACCAAGAGTAAAATGGATGTGCATGCAAAACTCAAGTTCTGGAACAGTGTCTAAAGTCCAGAAGTGGACAAACAACCAGAACTTTCTGGCTGAGTTTACAGCTGGTGACAACACAGAAAAAGAAGCTAAACAAAACAAAAACAAAAAGATATGCTTTCTTGTTCTTTCAGATACGAAGCTGTTGAGGACAACTAAACTTCACATGTTAAAGACGGTTTTTTTTTAAATTTCCTGTGTGACTCACCTGAAGCAGTCAACCAGGCAGTCATCTTATGTTTATCTGTACCATGTTTTTGTTTTAATGATATAAATGTGTATGTGAATAGAATATAACTCAGAGAAAACTGAAGAAGAATGTTTCAAAATAAAGCTAAGAAGAGAATATTAAAACACACAAAAAACTAAGAAGAGGGTTATGAAAATAAAGCTAAGAAGGGGATTAATAAAAATAAAGCTAAGAAGGGAATAATAAAAATGAAGCTAAGAAGGGAATAATAAAAAAAAAGGTAAGAAGGGAATAATAAAAATGAGACTGAGAACGGATTAACAAGAAGACAGATAATTGGAGTCTGTATAACATAATCTTTTTCTTCTTCGCGTTCACTGGCTTTAACTCTGGCGGAAAGCTCTGGCTGTTCATCCACTTCTGGACTTTAGTATTGTTATAGAACTTAGGTTTTGTGTGCACATCTGTTTTACAGATTTTTTTGTATGCAGACTCTTGGTTCCTTACCTGTCAGGCAGATGCACTCCGACTTCAAAGGAAACACCACAGATTTGTCTGCTTTTATGACATGCATTTTTGGTGGGGTGGGGGTTCTGTTTTCTGTTTTCCCCTTCAGTGTTGCTCTGGAACCCACCCACACAAGGGGGAATAACTAAAATGAAACAAACCAAATGTTAGCAAGAATGTAAGAGCTGAAGAAAAAAAATGATGCAGATGGAAATCTGAGAAAAGGACAGAGAAAGAGACCCCCCCAAAAATGCATAAACAGAAAGCTGTGTGTAAAAGTGAATGCCTAGACCAGGGGCATTCAGTTAAGTGAGCCCAAATGGGGATTGTCTGGGGTACAACCTGATATCAGTGAGACACCAAAGAAGAAAGTCCCTTTGGTCTTCTGTGATGCAAAACCTGCTGGGACTGTAATGCCCAGCACACAGGCTGAAATTCTCAGTGGGATCAGGGGTAAACCTTCCCTTGTGATCAGCAACACAAGGACAACAACGTCCATCTTCTTTGACTTCTCGGCTGCAAATCCTGCCTAAGATTCCATCAACAACAATACGTAACGCTTAATACGTCCTATTTGCCTAGTCATTTTTGGTGTGTTTTAGTGCACACCTGCACGCGACAGACTGAATTAGTTAAGAGCCCTTAGATGACTTTTGCACAGTGGCAATTAATGATGTGGATCTGTGGTTCTCAACCGTTCTAATACAGTTTCTCATGTTGTGGTGACCACCAACCATACAGTTATTTTCATTGCTACTTCATAACTTCAGTGAATATGTGTTTTCCGACTGTCTTAGGTGACCCTTGTAAAAGGGTCATTCAACCCCCAAAGAGGGTTGAGAACCTCTTATGTAATTACTACCATTTCATTACACTTTGCAAAGTCTTATTGTCCTTGACTTATGCAAATTGGACTGCCACATTCATTGATCTCTGAAATGTATGCTGTTTAATGTCATATAAATATGCATGTTCTTACTCCGTCCAGCCGAGTTTTTTAAATTCTCCATCTTGATGTTGTTTTTCATTATGATTATTTATAGCAAATACATAGGAAAATAAGTTTTAATTGTCATAATTATTAATATTATTACACAATTGAGAACTGATACAAACAGTGCTATTTATGACTTTTTTACTTTGTTTTAATCTCTGCGCAAGACTACACGACACCCCCTCCCTCAAACTGCCTCCCCCCCCCCCCCCCCAAATAAAACAATAGCCTTTATATAAATTCAATAACTCTGTGTCAAAAATTGTCCTATTATTATAAAATCTGGTGGGAATGTTGATGAAAATGCCTTATTTTACATGTTAATATCACGCCACGAATTTCTCGTCACCGTGTATTTCTCTGCATTAAAGATTATTCATCTGCTTCAAAACGGCGTTCACTGAAAAAGATAAAATTGCAATAGAATTTCTTTGAGAGAAAAAAAAATGATTGTGGAAAACACATTTTTAAAGAATTTCCGAAAAAAGGATAGAGTTTAGGTGGACTCTCATACCTTCAACAAAAGATCAATGTAAAATGGTACTGTGAAGCCTCAGAAAGGTTAATGTACTAAAAGCAAAGCCTAAGGGAGATATTATAAAAAGACAGGGAAGGAGATAATATAAAGGATAATATTAAAATGTACTCCTTGAAGCTATCTACTCCAAACCTACACAAGCTCCAACAAAGATTTCGTCCTGGTGAGTGTAAGCCAACCCCACTCAAGCTGCAGAAAAAGTTAATTAGGCGGGAGCTAAGATCAATAGTGTCTTAACCCGGACATGATATATTCTGTATGAAGTCTTATCAGGGGTAACAGTAAAACTAGGCACACTAACTACAAGTCCTGATCTGAATCAAAACAACTGGAACTATAATTTTCACATTAAATATCTGTTTATTTTACTGTACACAAAACTAACACCTCACAGATAACACTACACTAATAGCCAACATTGTGTCCACACGCACATGTGCTAAACACCTCATCTAGCAAAGATGAACATTTGCTTTTGGTGACATAAAATCAAATATCCCAGAGCAATAATAAACACTAATGTATATATATCTACAAGTTTAACTACTGAAAATGTACCACCGCCATGTGAAGTCAGCCACACTAACCATCCAGTCGCCATAAATATGGCCTAATGGCTGAAAGGGGTTTCTGTGACCTTTCCAAGGGTGATCCTCATTCGCATGGTAACACTTTGTGTCATTGGCTGTTTATCACTTGCGTGATGTCTTTGTGGGGTACAAGAAAAGGGAGAGAGAGAGGGAGAGAGAGAGAGAGAGAGAGAGAGAGAGAGAGAGAGAGAGAGAGAGAGAGAGAGAGAGAGAGAGAGATGAATCACAAAACTGCAATAAAACATTAAATAAATAATGAGATATTTTTGGAAGGCACAAGAAGGGGTAATAATATTCTTCTTCGCGTTCACTGGCTGTAAACTCTTGACGGAAAGTTCTGGTTGTTTGTCAACCTCTGGACTATCAATCAGATCATAACTCCTGACCCATAAGTGTTGTGGAGGTGTATTAATGGAAGCACCAGCACATAAGACCTGCCATCTTTCTCTGTTTTCCGCTTGATGAATAAGTATATGATAACTTAGTCTTGTCCATTTCTTGATGTTGTCATTTCAGTTTCTTCTTTGCCCTCCTCGTCTTCGACTACCCCCCATTGTTCCTTGAAATACAGTCTTTGCAATCGAATCATGTCTCAACATATGCCCAAACCAAGCTAGCTTGTGACATTTCACCACTGCCAAGAGAGGCTTCTCATGTCCTGACATATTTAGCAGTTTTATGTTCTACATAACTAATTCATAAAATGCGTCTGTAGCATTTACATTAGAAAGCCTGAACCGTATTAAGAAAATAGACAATACCAGTGATTTGTATACATTGACCTTGACCGCCATGCTGATTTTGCTCTTACACATTGTATTTATCTGCGACATTGGGGCTGTTACCCTGTCAAGTCTGGACTTTAGTCTTGTTCCCGAACCTGAGTGTTGCATGCACATCCATTTAACAGATCCGACTTATTTGTATAAAGCTTGTTGGTTCCTTGTCTCTCAGGCAGATGCACTCCGACTTCGAAAGAAGCTCCCAATTAGTCGACTCTTACAACATGCTTTTGGGTAGGCAGTGGGTTTATTTTTGTTTTCCCTATAGCCTTAATGTTGATCTGTTGTTTGAAAACAAAAACACAAAACAAACCTGGACTTTTAACAACTGAACTCGAAAAGAAAATGTAAGCATTAGAAATAAGATTATTATGAACAATTCTTGGCCTATCATGCAGAGACCACGTCACAAGTTTGCCGTTTGATTACTCAGAACACTTGCAACTATGAACCTCTTGTTACTACAGTGAAAAGGCAGGACATTCAGTGGTACGGACATGTAATAAGATCTTACAGCTTCTAAAAAATGCTACAAGGCTCTGTAAATGAGAAGAGGCAGACCAAGAAAGACCGTCGTACAGAAATTGACTGACTAGGCAGGCCTCAGACATGCAATCGTGAAGTCTATCTCATCGAACGTCAAAGATGAAGAGAGCTGACCAGACAATCAATAGCAACTGGTGACCCAATGAGACGCAGTGTTATGGGATGATGGTGATGATGATGATGAATATGAACAAAGAAGATAGACAATATGTTTGGCAATTTATTGCCTTAAATATTTCACTGTATCCAGTCAGGCGCATAATACAGTAATAGTTGATTAAAATAAAGCAAATTAATACTTTCAAGTCCAGTGAAGAACAAAATATGTTATTGAATTTAGAGAAAAAGAAAATAATGTCCACAGATAAAACTGGCTGTCACCCAAAAATAACAATAAATGATGAAGAAATTGAAAATGTCACAAACTTTGAATATCTAGGTTCAACAGAAATTAAAAGGAGGATGGCCATAGCAATGCAAAGATTGAACAGCCTTAAAAGTCTATGGTTAAGCACCAGCAAGGAGATAAAAATTAGAATTTTGAGAGCATGCATCTTCCCTGTGGCTACACACGGATGTGAGTCGTGGACTATCTCACAGTCCTTAAGAAAGAGAATAGGGGCTTTTGAGCTGAAATGCTATAGACAGATTCTCAGAATATCTTTGACAAAGAGAGGACAAATTTTTAAATCTTAAAAGATCTCAACATCAAGGAAGGTTGGCTAATAAACAGCATCCCTTCTCGGAAGCTGAAATATTTTGGTCATATCAAGTGCCACGACGGATTGGAAAAGATTATAGCAGACGGCATGGTACAAGGAAGGAGGGGCAGGGGCCGACCAACACAAAGATGGGCACATGATATAAGCGATTCCTCGAGTATGAAAGTACATGAGGCGGGAGAACTGGCGAGAGACCGAGTTTCTTTCGGGCAGACCATGATGAGAGCGACGTTCTGCAAAGGACCTGTTACATGATGAGTGTACAGACAGCTATTTGTGTTTTCTGCATG